CACCAATTCTAAACCATACTGTTTGGAAGTAGAGCTGTCGTTCAAGCAGTAGAATACCAGCCTTGAGTGAAATAAAAACACACACACTCAAAAAGCAAACTGGGCACCAGTGGTTCATGCCTGTAGTTCTAGCTACTCAGGAGGCTGAGATCTGAGGATCATGGTTTAAAGCCAGCCAAGACAGGAAAGTTGATGAGACTCTTATCTCCAATCAACCAACAGAAAACTGGAACAAGCGCTATGGTTCAAGTGGTAGAGTGCTAGCCTTGAGCTGAAGAGCTGAGGGACAGCGCCCAGGCCCAGAGTTCAGGCCCAATGACCGACAAAAAAGTGAGAGTGTGAGGCCCTAAGTTCAAGCCCCAGTTCCAGCATAAAAAAAACAACAACAACAAAAATGGAATTAAACTACATTACTTCCACTCCCAGCATTGACTGGTGGCCTGGATAATGCAGTACTCTCCTCGCTGTATCAGCTGCTTCCTTCCTCATCCTTAGCAGCTGTTAACAATATACAAAGGTTCTGTTAAACCATAAGACTAAACACATCCTCTTGTGATTTGGAGCATTCCCCCTCCTCATTCTAAACCCGTCTTTTCCAGAGCACCATCATCTTTCTGACCTCAGCTCCAACTGCTCTCCATTTCATTTTCTTTTCTCCAGCTGATTGGTCTCCTCTTGCCTTTTCCTTTTTTTTTTTTTTTGTGATGGTCCTAGGGCTTAAACTCAGGACTTAGGCACTGTCCCTGAGCTTCTTGTGCTCAAGGCTAGCACTCTACCACTTGAACCACAGCACCACTTCCAGCTTTTTCTGAGTAGTTTATTGGAGATAAGAGTCTCATAGACTTTTCTGCCCAGGATGATTTCAAGCCATGATCCTCAGATCTCAGCTTCCTAAGTAGCTAGGATTTTAGGCATAAGCCATCAGCATCTCTCTCTCTCTCTCCCCCCTCCCCCCTCCAGTATTTCTGGTACTGGGGATCAAACCTAGGACATTGTATTTACTAGAAAAGCATTTTGCCACTGGGCTACATTCCAGCTCTCCCCTCCCTTCTGTTTTGTTTTGTTTGTTTTCGGGTCCGGTCGTGGGGCCTGAACTCTGGGCCTGGGCGCTGTCCCTCAGCTCTTCACCTTAAGGCTAGGGCTCTACCACTTGAGCCACAGCGCCACTTCCGGCTTTTTTTTTTTCTGCTTATGTGGTGCTGGAATCAAACCCAGGGCCTCATGCATGCAAGGCAAGAGTTTTACCACTGAGCCACCTTCCCAGCCCTCCCCTCCCTTCTGAACATATGTGAAACACACTCCTTCCTCTGAGCCTTGGCATTGCTATTCCGTTTGCCTGGAATGTGCTAATCTCAGATACCTGAAGGCTCACTTCACCATCTTCAGGAGCTGCCTTCAGGGTAGCTGAGACATTAAATTCTCACAGACACTTACATGGGCACCCTTTTTACAATTCCAGACTTCCCCCTCACTTCTCTTTTCTTCTCTCTCTCCCTTGCTTTCCTTGTTTTTTGATTCCATAGTTCTTATGCCTTTTTATTTTATTTTTATTTTTTTTTGTAGGGGGGTCCGGTTGTGGGGTCTGAACTCTGGGCCTGGGCACTGTCCCTCAGCTCTTCAGCTTAAGGCTAGCGCTCTACCACTTGAGCCACAGCACCACTTCCGGCTTTTTTCTTTTTGCTTATGTGGTGCTGAGGAATTGAACCCAGGGCCTCATGCATGGAAGGCAAGCGCTCTACCACTGAGCCACCTTCCCAGCCCTGCCTTTTTATTTTTTGCTGGTTCTGGAACTAGAACTCTGGGCCTGGGCACTGTCCTTGGGCTCCTTTTTTGCTCAAGTCTCATGGACTTTCCTGCCTGGACTGGATTTGAACTGTGATCCTCAGATATCAGCCTCCTGAGTAACTAGGATTACAGGCATAAGCCACTGGTGCCTGCCTCTTTATGCCTTTTGATAATGCCATCATTCATCTGTATCCATATCCTCAGGTTCAACCATTATGGGTCAAAAATACTTGAAAACTTGACCACGTAATTGTAACCCCTCTGTACGGTATTTTCACAATAAAAATAAAAAAACAATAAAAAATACTTGAAAAGCCCCTGGTGCTGGTGGTTCATGGCTGTAATCCTAGCTACTCAAGAGAATGAGATCTGAGGATCAAAGCCAGTGTAGGCAGAAAAAGAGTCATATCTCCAATTAACTAGCAAAATGTAGGACTATAGGTGAGGTTCAAGTGGTAGGGTACCAGCTGTCAGCAAGCAAGTAGACTGAAAGCTCAAGACCTTGAGTTCAAGCTCTGGTACTAATACACATGCATGTATGAACACACACACACACACACACACACACACACACACACACACATTTTTGAAAAGAAGCTGAGCATCTTAGTGTACATTTAGCATCTAGCCCTGAGGAGATTGAATCAGGAGGCCTGGGTTACATAGTGAATTCCAGGCCACTTTGAGCTACATAGTAAGGCCCCTCTCTCAAAAACAAGTGGAAAACAACCCAAAAATAATAACAAAAGGCTGGGTGTGATGGCTCACATCTGTATTCCTGGCTACTTGGGAGAGAACAGATGATTGGAATTCAAGGCCAGTCTAGGCAAAAAATTATCAAGACCCTACCCTATCTCTACCAATGTTTTCTCTATTACTGTTTCCCCAGTGCCACACATTATTCACTGAATCCATGGTAGTATGCACCAGTCATTCCACTTACAAAGGAGGCATAGATAGGGGGACTGTAGTCTGAAGAAGGCCCAGGTAATAATTTGAGACTATAACTGAAGAACATAACTAAAGCAATGCAGGGCACTGGTAGCCCTGTAATCCTAGTTACTCAGGAGTCTGAGATATGATGACTGTGGATTGAAGCCAGTTCCCAGGTCAAAAGCACCCAGGTCCTGAGTTTAAGCCCCAGGAAGGCATCCCCCCAAAATACCCCCATAAAATGTAAAGCAAAAAAGGTTGGAAGTATGGCTAAAGTGGTAGAGTGTCTGACTACCTAGTACAAATCCCTGAGTTCAAATCTCAGTACCATCAAAACCTTAGTACCTTCCTTCCCCACGAAAACTTTTCTGTGGAGAAAAATGAGGGAGGGGATAACAATGTTTAACAAGAAATATACTCATTACATTGCATAACTGTAATCCCTCTGCACATCACCTTTACGATACAATAAAATAAAAAAATATAAAAAGACAAATTTTCTGGACCATGTGAGAATCTAGCAAGAATAATTTTTTTTTGGCAGTCCTGGGGCTTGGACTCAGGGCCTGGGCATTGTCTTCTGAGCTTCTTTGGCTCAAAGCTAGCACTCTACCACTTGAGCCATAGTGCCACATCTGGCTTTTTCTGTTTATGTGGTCCTGAGGAATCGAACCCAGGGTTTCATGCATGCTAGGCAAGCACTCTACCACTAAGCTACATCCCAGCCTGAATAAAAGTTTTCAACCCAGAAGAGTTCTCTTACTAGAATCCAGCTATGTTAGCAAGATCTCAGGTCTCTAGCCACCAATGTTGTGAGAAACAAATCTGTTCTGTATAAACACCTCCCCCAAACATACATACATACATCCCACACATATGTGTACAAAAAGATTGCAAAATATGCAATCTATATGTACAAAAATTGAACTACACCTCAGCCCATAAATAATACATGTATTATAAGGATTATAAGTAATATAGCCAGGCACTAGTGGCTCACACCTGTAATCCTAGCTACTCAGGAGGCTGAGATCTAAGGATCATGGTTTAAAGCTAGCATAGGAAGGAAAGTCCATGAGACATTTATTTCCAATTAACCAGCAGAAAACCAGAAGTGTTGCTGTGGCTCAAAGTGGTAGAGCACTAGACTTGAGTGAAAAAGTTCAGGGACAGTGCCCAGGCCCTGAGTTCAAGGCCTATGACTGACAAAAGAAAAATAACCTAAAGAAGATATAAAGTATATGGGAGGATGTGCTTGAGATTGTGTGCATATACACTTGTATATCTCCAGGTTAAGGTATCTGTGAAGCTGGGAGCCAGTGCCTCATGCCTGTAATCCTAGTTACTCAGGAGGTTGAGATCTGAGGATCATAGTTCGAAGCCAGCCTACGCAGAGAAGTCTGTGAGACTCTTATCTCCAATAAACTACTCAGAAAAAGCTGGAAGTGGTGCTGTGGCTCAAAGTGTTAGAACACTAACCCTGAGTACAAAGATGCTCAGGCACAGAGCCCAGGCCTTGAGTTCAAGCCCCAGGATCAGCAAAAAAAAAAAAAAGAAAAAAGAAAGAAAGAAAGGTATCTGTGACTGGTTGTTGAGCTAATTTCTTGAGGATACCAAAGGAAGATTGTAAAGTTATAGGTTCTTTGTTTGCTTTGTGCCAGTCCTGGGGCTTGACCTCAGGACATGGGCACTTTCCCTGAGCTTTTATGCTCAAGTCCAGTGCTCTACCACTTGAGCCACAGTTCCACTTCTGGCCTTTTGGTGTTGATTTGGAGATAAGAGTTTCACAGACTTTCCTGCCTGGGCTGGCTTCGAACCACAATCTTCAGATGTCAGCCTCTTGAGTAGCTAAGATTACAGGCATGAGTCACTGGTGCCCAGCTATTTATCAGCTCATATATTGGTTATTACTCTATTTAGGAATCTAATCTTCATATGAGAAGACATTTGTGTGTGTGTGCGTGTGGATGCATGCACGTGTTTGCACACGTATATGCCTACTAGGGTTTTGTACAGGATAGACAAGAGCTGTGCCATTGAATGTCTCTGTTTCATATTTTCTCCATTGCTATGAAACAGTGCTTACAGCAGTGTTCCACACTATTCGCTGAATTGATGCGATGAATGAAGTTCTGGGATAAAGCCTGAGGTAGGGGCAGAATAGAGATGGAATGACACACTGATGAACTGGTGATCATACATGGCTCTCTGCATTACTCTAGAAAAAGTCTTTCCACATGAATGTGTGCCTCCACGAGTGTCACTCACTGCAGAATGGTTACCTGCTCAGGTTTAAGGCCTGGGGGCACCCAGGCATACTCCTCGGAGGCACAGCCTGAATCATCATCTGAGATGGAGTGACGCTGGAAGTCAGAGATCAGCCGACACATGATGCGTTCCAAGTCCACAGGCACAGCATGCACGGCATGCTCCTCTCGTGGGCATTTGCAATGTTGACAGATCTTTCTGAGGAGACATGATGGTATCAATTACTAAGAATTTTCTTCAATCAGACCTCTAGACAGCCCAAATCCAAATGAAAGGTGGCCCAAGGACATTAGAGTTGGGCCAGGGCTGACAGGAGGTGGGACTGAGAGCTAGGATCTTATTTGAGCCATGGGTTGTAGAACATAGGTTGTGTGGGGTTCAGCTTCTGGCTGATGGCAGGGCTACAAGAGCCCAAAGAACTGAGAGTAGAGGCTATGCGCCTGGACACAGGATGTGACAGGATGAAGCTGATTAAACAGGTGGAGTCTCAAGCCTAACTTCCTGCTCTGGTGTGTGTGTGTGTGTGTGTGTGTGTGTGTGTGTGTGTGTGTGTGTGTGGTGTGTATGTGTGTGTGTGTGTGTGTGTGTGTGTGAGAGAGAGAGAGAGAGAGAGAGAGAGAGAGAAACTAACTCTGGGCAGAGAGCCCGAGAAGGGTGGGCCTCTGGACCTGAGATTGGAGTTCTAAATCTAGACACTTCCCCTAGGAAAGGCTTAGAAGTGCTTTGTGGAGGAACTCTCCCTGAAAGTGGCCTTTCCCCTGTGATAAGACTCTGAATGTGTGTGTGTGTGTGTGTGTGTGTGTGTGAAAGTGACTATCAGCCTGTGGGACTATGGTCTGTGATACTTTCTGAGACTCTTTTTGGTGTCAATACTCAGGCTTGAAATCTGGGCCTGGACAGTGTCCCTGAGCTTCTTTGCTCAAGGCTAGTGCTCTAACACTTGGGCCACTTGGTGGAAAATTGGAGTTGAGTCTTACAGACTTTCCTGTCTGGCTTGGTTTTGAACTATGATCCTCAGATCTCAGTTTTTGAGTAGCTAGGATTACAGGCATGAGCCACTGTTGTCCAGCCACTATCTGGGTCATTGAATGCAGGGTTTTAGTAGGAGAATAGGACAGTGAGTGTGGGAGAACTAAAAGCCTAAAAAGGAGGTGGAGGAGATGATTCCACGGATGGTACTGAAAGCCGCAGACAGAGGATATTCCCAAGATCTGAGACTCAGAGATTTGGGGAGGATTCTTAGAATCGAGGTTGTGTAGTGAGTAGAACTTTCCTGGGAATTGAACGACTGGGAACGAGTCAGGTGGCAAGACCCTCAATCTGAGCTTGAGGTTCTTTTTCCTGTTGAGGTGAGTGTATGAATAGAGCTCAAGCCTAGAGGTGTGGCCATAGCATCCCGCCCCCAAGTCCCCAGAGGGCGGAGCTCTGGCAAAGGTGAAGCCCTGGGGCGGGTCACTTACCTCCAGCCATGCAGCAGGAAGCCTGGGCACTGTTCCCTACAGGAGTTGCAAGGTTGGCCTCGGTCTGGATCTTCTGCCTCTGGAGGCTGTAGTGGGCGGGAGCAGAGCCCCAAAGAGGTGCCCAAGCAGGGAGGGAGACGTCAACGCCCTTCCCTCCACGCCCAAGCCCAAGACCACACGCTGGGGCCTGTCCCACTAGGGCAGCTCTGGGCAGGCTGAGACAGTGCTTAGAGTGTGGGGGAGGGGGACACAACCCAGCCAGAGGTGGGGCAGCAGAGTCCACCTCACTATATGCCCCTTTTGCAAGAAATTCAGCATTCTGGGGTTGGCTTGTCCCCTACGCCAGATCTCAAACACTTCCATCCATCAGAAAGAATCCCATACTCTTCCCACTAGAGCAGAGCCCCTAATCTGGACATCCATTCCCAAGCTTCATCCTGGCCTCTTCACCTAGGAGGGCAGTAGCCCTCCAATTCCCTGGGGTAGGAGTCTGAGACCCTGTTCTTCCCTTCAGTAGTTCAAGAGCCCTCCCTAAAACCCCTGTTCTCCCCAATTTAAGAAACTGAAGATCTCCCAGGACCTCAGGCCACTCCTGCTCCATTGAAGAACCCCTACTCCAAGAAGCCTAGTCTTTACCCCTCATCCTAGGACTATTATCTCTTCTGGCCCTCCAAACCCAGACCCTTCTACCTAGGAAGGCAAAAGTTTCCAGGCTCAGGTGGAAGCTTAGAAACTCTGAGTCTCCAAATCTCAGTCCTTCACTCATAAATTGGGGCACTCGACCAGTGTGTAGCGCTCCCATTCCTAAGTCTGTAAGTCCCAAAGATACGAAATCCCTTGCTTCAGAAGCTCAGGAGGTTCCTGCTCATCCTGAGGTCCAAACCCAATCTTTTGACCCTTAGAATCCTCTGTCAATTCACTGGAGAGGAGAACACACAAGGTCTCTTAGGGGGTGTTGATTAAGGTGTTCCAAGATGTGATTAGGCAGCAAGAGCCACCGAATCCACACCAGTTCCTTCAATCCATGAGCGTCCGCTAGTCCTAGTGCCCACTCTACAAAAGCTGGGGATGGGAATTCTCACACCCTCTCTGGGGCTCCTCATTGCTATCCCCGTGCTCGGCCCGCTTGCCTGGGCCTCAGTTTACCCCTGCCCCCATCCACTGCTGCCCAGTATCCTGCTCACCGCACGCCCAGAGCGGCGCCTCCGCGACCCACGCGCGAACATGGTGCGTCCGGACAGGGTCAGTCTGGGCCAGGTCAGGCGAATGAAGTTCTCCCCGCCGCCAGGCCACAGCGCGTCCGGCCTGGCAACTCGGTTCCGTAAACCTGACTCCGGCGTGGGAGGAGCCACACCCCGTAGAGCCCGCCCCCCAGGCCTGTTGGCTCTCGGCTGCCAACTGTGTCCTCTACCCAAAGGTGTTGGGCACTGCCAGCTTGCAGCCCGGAAGAACTTTACAGAAAAGTCCACTGTCCTCTCGCTTGGGGCCAGAGCCAGGCGTCTGGAGGCACAGCCTCCAGAACCCCACTATGCCACGCGGCCTTTGGGCTTGGAGGCTGACGGGGAGGGGCTAAGAGGGCTTGGAGGTGGTGACCCGAGTAGAAGGGGTGGCGCTCCCGGGTGCTTGTATTGACGCGTTGTGTCGATTTGTCTTGGGTATTTGGGGCAGGGGATAAAGGCATACGGATTAAAGCCACTTCTTAGCCTCTTCTCAAACCTTCTCCCCCCGACTCTTCCGGACGAATGGCTCGAATAACATTCGCAGTTCCAGCTGGCAGTGGGTGGATTTCACCATCCGGCTAGAATTTCCCTTCCCCGTTCCCCTCCAAGAGCCAGGATTTTGAGATTTCTGAGGAAGGGGCTAAAAATCACTGGCCAGAATCTGAGGCTCTCTCCCCGACTCCCTCGCTGTTCTTTACAGGCCCACCCATTGTGGACCCTAAGCCCAGAAAAGTAGGTTCTAAAACCTACCCCCGACCCCCATATTCTCTTCAGTTACACATTCCCTTCCTTTAGCTCTCTTTTTCACGCTCTCAGCAGTCTGGGAGCCTCTGGGTGGGAGGAGGGGGTCTCGGCATCCACAATAAAGGACTCAGAACCCAGGCGCCTGGCCCGGGTCTTTAATTAAGCACGGAGGCGGCTGCTGGCGGCCCGATCTTTCATCTTAGGCGCCAGGGAACTTCCTCCACCCCGGTATAGACAGCTCAGTCACTTCCCACCCCTCCTCGTTCCAGGGAGGAGCTGGGGAGAGGGAAAGAGGAAAAAATAAATTATTCAGCTATGGAGATCTATGGGTGCCCAGCCTTCCTGCCCAGCCGATCTCACGGTCTTACCAGTATGGAGAGGGGTCTGCTGGACTCCAATATGAGGAGTGAGAGTTATGTAGGATGAGGTTTCCCATGTGGAGTCATCTTCGTGGGATCCTGTGAGGACTTGAGGAAAGGGCTCCACCGGGACTGGGAAGGATTGTGGCTAAGGGACCAGAATGAGAACCGAACTCGAGAAAGCCTGGGCATTGGATAGCTAGTCATGGGGCAGCGAGTAAGACGACTTGGAATGATCTGATTGCTAGGCCAGGCTTCACCAAAGGATGCGGCTGGGGGCTAGGGTGAGTCCGAGTTTCCTGTCACAAATTCCCACCCATCTCTCCCCTCACCTGGACTTCAAAAAAGAGAAATGAGAGCCATGCAGACTAGGTGATTGAGGAGTTTATTTGAGGGAGGAGAAGTACTCATATCTGTTCTTCCTCAGGGAGAAGGGGGTCTTCAAACAATACCGAAGGGAGCAAGGAAAGGGGAGGTCTGGAGAGGAGAGGGAAGGGCCACAGCCAGACAAAATGGCAACACACGATCACAGGCACTACCGACATCACAGACACAGCAGAGGGTGCAGGATAGGAGCTCCAGACCCAGCCTCCAACCACCCAGGCCTGGTGGGAGGGGGTGGAGAGTGGGGGCAGGGGAGGAGGCAGAGGGATGGGCCAGCCCCACTAGACCAGTTGAACTCTATCCTCTGATTACCTAGCTGACTTGTCAAGGGAGTGGGCAAGGGGTATTGTTCTCTAGATCCCACCCCTCATCCTCTCAGATCTTTCCCAAACCTCAATGCCCAGCTTTGGTCAGGGGTACTCACCTACCTTAAAACTCATCCCAAGGCTCTTAACTACCCTCTTCCCACAGCTACTACCCAAACTCTGTTCACTTTGAAACCTACTTTCTTTGCTGCCCCATTGGGAGAGGGGCTGCTCCTTGTGAAACCACCATGCACTCTCTATACTAAACCTCAGTGTCTGGACCCCTGACCTGGACTTCACCCCAAGGGTAGGCCATTTCTGAACCTCACTTCTTACTCTGCTCAAGATCCTTTAGAATCAAGTTCAGACTTTGCAATGTTCCAGGCCACACACCTAGGGCTGCTAGTCTCAATTCAAGCCTGCCCACCCTGGAGCCCACTGGAAGCATCATTTAAAGCTCTGTCCCTTCTAGAGCATGCCCTCTACCCCCTTCAGAGTTCCACTCCAGAATGCTTTAGGCACCTCATTTGTCAGGTTCCACATTTAGTATATCTGGAACCTAGCTCCTTGTTGATTAGTCTTGTCCACTAGTCCTGTCTACTCAAAGAACACTTTCAGTCCAAAGTTGTCCCCTTTACTCCAAGTCCCCTAAATCTGCCTTTCTTACACCTTGGGGTTGAACTTACCCTTCACAGTCTGGTCAGATATTGCTAGAGGAACAAGGCCAGAGTTAGGAGGGGGAGGAGAGAGAGGAGAGAGTCTGAAATCACCTCCCACCCTCCCCATACAGCCAAGGTCTCCCCTTCCTGCCCCTTTCCAAAGCCTCCTAACCTCAGGGGACAGGGCTAGGGAACAGAAAGGGGCTGATGGGTTCAGGGGAAGGTGTAGGGCTAAGGAGGAGCCCATTCAAGGCTGGGCCCCTAGTGCATGAGAGAGGGGAGTGGATGAGGGGAAGGCTCAGACAGATAAATAGATATTTATATATAATATATATATATATAAACAGCAAAGACAATTGAGGGTCTCCTGGCTTGAGGGGTGGAGACCTAGGGTATAGGGATAGGAAGGGGGGCAGGCCTTCTCTTGAGCTCGTGCCCACCCATGGGGATGGGGTCCTCCCAGCTGCACTGACCTGTAGAGACAGAAAACGGGAAGGAGAAGGGGTCTTGATATGGGTGGTCTCTTCAGGGAGGAGGTGGGCCACTATGCCTTTGCCCTGGCTTTTCCTATTGCCTGAATGTCTTTTTTGCTTCTTTCACTCATATCTTCATTCACTCAGCTTCATCTCAGCTGCCCCCACTGAAAAGCTATTCCTGATCCTGTTCCCACTGTGTACCAAAGCAACAATGAAGGTTCCCATCTCCTAACCCCAAAAGTCCATTAGTAGGTACTGTTTAACCATTGGCGACAGCCTATATTGAGCAAAACAAGATCTCTGCCTTTGTAGCAGGAGATAAGACTTCATACAACGAATGTGAAACCTAAGAGAGTTATCTAGGAGCACAAGGTAACAATACATGAGGACAGAATACATAAAGTAGAGAGAGCAGGGAGCGGAACGTGACTCAGTGGTAGAGTGCTTGCCTTGCATGCATGAGGCCCTGGGTTCTATTCCTCAGCACCACATAAGCAGAAAAAGCCAGAAATGGTGCTGTGGCTCAAATGGTAGAGCGCTAGCCTTGAGCTGAAGAGCTCAGGGACAGTGCCTAGGCCCAGAGTTCAGGTCCCATGACAAAAAAAAAAAAAAGTGGAGAGAGCAAGGAGGAGAAGGCTAGAAGTGATGTCAGAAGGTGTGAGGTGGGGTCATAGTGTAGTCCTGTGAGGACTGCAGCTTTGCTTTTGATGAGGCCTAAGGCACTAAGAACAATTTTCTGCAGTGAAGAGTAGAAGGATTGTAAAACATCTCATGCTGTCAGGTGCTGGTGGCTCATAACTGTAAATTCTAGCTACTTAGGAGGCTGATATCTGAGAATCATGATTTGAAGACAGCCTGGGTAGGAAAGTCTGTGAAATTATTATTTTTTTTTGTCAGTTATAAGGCTTGAACTCTGGGTCTGGGTGCTGTCCCTGAGCTATTCAGCTCAAAGCTAATGCTCTACCACTTGAGCCACAGTGCCACTTCCAGTTTTCCTGGTGATTAAAATTGGAGATAAGAGTCTCATGGACTTTCCTGCCCTGGCTGGCTTTGAACCATGATCCACAGATCTCAGCCTCCTGTTTAGCTAGGATTATAGGTATAAGCCACGAGTGCTTGGCAAGTCTGTGGAACTCTTATTTCTAATTAACCACCAAAAAGCTGGAGATGGAGCTATGGCTCAAAGTCGCAGAGTTAAAGTTTTGAGCAAAAAGTTTAGGGATCGTGCCCAGGTTCTGATTCAAGCCACAGGACTGGCAAAACAAAACAAAACAAAACAAAACAAAAAAAACCCCACAAGTCTACACAGTATATACACTGCAAATCTCATAACATTCCCTTCAGGCTCTGGGGCTGCATAGTCTGAACCATATTATTGTTTCAGGTAAATTTTGTGGACATTCACATTAAGAGAAGTAAATTAAAACTACTAATCACTTCATGTCGGTTCAGAGTAGGCTTGAGCAAAAAAGCTCTGTGATAGTGCCCAGGCCCTGACTTCAAGTCCCAGTACCAACACACACACACACACACACACACACACACACACACACACACACACACACACACACACACACACACACAATACCTTATGCTATGTTGTTTCCATTACTTACTCAATAAAATGTCTCTCAATATTAAGCGTGTTTTAAGTGATGTGTATAGAGCATGTCTTGGTTACATTCTATAGTCTAGTGGAAGAGACAGTCAAGAAACCTATAAACAATAATTACAGATGGTGATAAGGAAAAGCATACAGAGAGATAACAAGGGCGATTTGTTTACAGGGTAGTCAGATAAGAACTCACTGTATAAGTGACTAAAAGAATGAAAGGGAGTTGTCTAGGCAAAGATGTGTGTGTGTGTGTGAAAGAGACACAGAGAGAGACAGAGAGAGACAGAGACATAGGGGGTGGGGAATAAGTTCAAAGGCCAAAGGCCCTGAGATCAACTTGTGCCTGGTTCACTAAAATGGACAATTGGGCTGGGAATGTGGCTTAGTGGTAGAGTGTTTGCCTCTCATGCATGAAGCCCTGTGTTCAAATCCTCAGTACCACATAAACAGAAAAAGCCAGAAGTGGTGCAGTGGCTCAAGTGGTAGAGTGCTAGCCTTGAGCAAAAAGCTCAGGGGCAGTGCCCAGGCCCTGAGTTCAAGCCCCAAGACTGGCAAAAAAGTGGGGAGGGCTAATTGTGTGGGTGATTCTAATGAAGACTCCTGCCTTTCCTGAGATGAGTACTACTATGTAGAGGAGGGCTGTGGTTTGATTTAGCACTTAACAGAATGTACTTATACTGTGAATAATAGGAATGAATGGACACTTGTGAAGAGATCCAGGGGAGATGCTGGTGAGAAATTGGCAAACTATTGAGCCAACAGGATTTTAAAATGAATTGAAGTGTGTGATGCTTTATCAAATTTCCTGTTCTCTCCATCCACAGACAGAACCAATCTGTATCTTCCATTTACCTTATTTCTTTTCTCCCCTCCCAAGTCAACCTTCACACCTTCCCCCTTCTAAGGAAAATGACCTGTCTGTTATCTCTTTTTATGAGAAAAGATCTTACTATATACCCAAGGCCAACTGGCCACCATGCTTGCATTGTTTTATTTTGGGGGGAGGAGGTGGTCCTGGGGCTTGAACTCAGGGCTTGGGCACTGCCCCTGAGCTTCTTTTACTCAAGGCTCGCACTCTACCACTTGAGCTACAGCACCACTTCCAGCTTTTTCTGTTTATGTAGTACTGAGTAATCGAACCCAGAGCTTCATGCAGGTTAGGCAAGCACCAAACCACATTCTCAGGCCCCTTTTAGTCGTTATTTGGAGATGAGAGTCTCCCAGCCTTTCCTGCCCCAAGCTAGCTTCGAACAACTATCACTCAGTTCTCAGCCTCTTGAATAGCTGAGATTACAGCCCTGAGCCATCAGCGCTGGGGTTCAGTTTTCTTTTAAGACACAGCTAGAAAGGTCGCAAGTCTTTCGTAGTTCTCCGCCCCACCCCTTTTACATCCTTTAACATCCTACACCATTTTCTCAGAGCTGGGAAAAGTGATGGATCTACAACTTGCTTCCGCGTTGGTAAACTCGTCGGACCTTCTAGATCCATCTATTAGCCTTATTACCTATTGGCTTAACAATCATTTTAAAAAACCCACGTCCCTTTTCCTTCCAAGGTTCCACCATTCCCCTGATATTCCTCACTGTGCAAGTCCCCGGGATATTCCACCCTTCCATTGGTAGCTCTGTACCTTTCCCCGCCCTCTCCCGCAGAACCGCGCCTCTACCTCTCTTCCATTGGCATCACGCATCTGCTCTCCATTTATTGGCTAGTTTTTCACTCCTCAAGTAACTCTGCCTCTCTATTAGTTCCTTCAAATTTCCGCCCTTACTCGCCTGGCAAACTTATTGCTCAGGGATCTTATTGGTTCACTGCCCCGCCCATCTCAGTTCTTGTACCTCCGTTGGCTGAAGTACATGCCCATCACTCACCAGATTACATCTGATTGGAGAAGGAGGTGGGCGCACCCTGTGGGCCGTAGCCTTGCTGCCCATAGTCGCCCTGAGGCCCGTAGCCACCGCCACCGCCGCCAGCTGGCTGCCCGTAGTCCGGCTGGTAGCCACCCTGGGGCCCGTAGGAGTCCTGGGGCCCATACCCTCCGGGGCCCTGCCCGTAGCCTGCATCGCCGTAGGCATCTCCAGGTGCTGGTTGCTTCTCGGGGGCACCAGGAGGTGCGCGCATGAATGGGGCGGCCCAGCCTGTCTCTTTGAACACGAACCACAGGTTGCCAACCCAGAGCACCAGATTCAGGAAGCCGAACACCTGAGGGGAGACAAGACCTGGCTATCTTATCGGTCTATTGCCTTTGGGGCCTCGGGGCGGGGGCGGGAGGGCATTGTGGCCTGACGTGCAAAATGGGCACATAGGGCATGAATATGTGGGCCCACGGAGGACAGTGATTTCTGAAACCTCAGCCCCCTACATATGTTTTTGTTAAATAAACATACACCTGCATGTAGTTACAAGTTTGCACAGTAATGCATGTATATAAAATGTGCTCATGGGCTGGGAAGGTGGCTCAGTGGTAGAGTGCTTGCCTTGCATGCATGAGGCCCTGGGTTCGATTCCTCAGCACCACATAAGCAGGAAAAAAAAGCCGTAAGTGGCGCTGTGGCTCAAGTGGTAGAGCGCTAACCTTGAGCTGAAGAGCTGAGGGACAGCGCCCAGGCCCAGAGTTCAGGCCCCACGACCGGACCCCCCCCCCCCAAAAAAAAAAAGAAAAGAAAAGAAAAAAAAATGTGCTCGTGTTAAAGTATAAATATGTGGAAGTTATATGACATATATTTTAAAACAGTACACCTGGTACTGTATGTCATATGTTTTCCTATGCTTAAGTTCCCTATATGGTATTAATTTACTTAATGTTTCATTTTTTAAATTCCACTTTTGAACAGGAAGACATTTCTCCTCCTCCTCTCTTTCTTCTTCCCCTCCCTCCTCCCCCTTCTTCTTTCTTCCTTCCTTCCTTCCTTCCTTCCTTCCTACCTTCCTTCCTTCCTCCTCCTCCTCCTCCACCTCCTCCTCCACCTCCTCCTCCTCCTTCTTCTTCTTCTTCATCTTCCTCCTCCTCGTCCTCCTCCTCCTCCTCCTCCTTTTCCTCCTCCTCCTTCTCCTCCTCCTCCCCCCTCCTCTTCCTTCTCTTCCTCCTCCTCTTCCTCTTCCTTCTTTCTTCTCTTCATCTCAGAATGTTGCTCAGGCTGGACTTAAATCCTTGGGCTCAAGTGATCTTCCTGGCTCAGCCTCTAGTGTAGTTGGGACTATAGGCCTCCATACTGGGTGGATATTTCGTGGGCGGCAGGGTGTGCACATGCCAGCACTATGCCTTAAACTTAGGTCCTGGGTACTGTCTCTTAGCATTTTGTTCAAGGCTGGTGGTCTACTACTTGAGCCTCAGATCCGCTTCTGGCTTTTTGGTGGTTAATTGGAAGTAAGAGTCTCATAGACTTTTTTGCTTGGGCTGGCTTTGAACCATGATCCTCAGATCACAGCCTTTTGAGTAGCTAGGATTACAGGCATGAACCACTGGTGCTGGGCAATCTCTCCATTTTAAGGCTGATGAAATTGAGGCCAGAGAAGCCTTCCTTTCACAGAGGGAGCTGGTCTCATAGTTAGCAAGTGACAGGAGAGTTGTAATCTTTGTGTGTATGTGTGTGTCAGTCCTGGGGCTTGAACTCAGGGCCTGGGCATTGTCCCTGACCCATTTTCCCATAAAGTTAATGCTTTATTGCTTGAGCCACACCTCTATTTCTAGCTTTTTTTGTGTGGTTTATTGGAGATAAAAGTTCCATAGATTTTCCTGTCTGGGCTGGCTACTGATGCCGGGCTTGAGTTGGAATCTTAACCTCTGCAATACTGGTATGTGACTTATCTCGTGCTCTTTTCTAAGTACTTTGTACACTATTAATTCATTAAATAGTCTACTGTGAAGCAGGACATATTACTACTCTTCAAGTTAAATGCTTAAACTGATCCTTGAAAGGCTTTGTGACTGGCTTCAGTTCAGAGTTTGCAAGGGATAGAGCTAGGATTTTTTTTTTTTTTCTTATCCTGGGGCTTGAACTCAGGGCCTGAGCACGGTCCCTAAGCTTCTCTTGCTGAAGGCTACCACTGTGCCACTAGAGTGACAGCGCCATTTCTGTTTGTTTTTTTTTCCCTCCTGTTTATATGGTACTGAGTAATCAAAACCAGGGCTTCATGCATGCCAGGCAAACACTCTACCCCTAAGCCACATTCTCAGCCCTAGAACTAGGATTTGAGCTCAAGACAGTGTGACTCTCAGCCAGTAGGGGGCGTCGGAGTACGACAACATTTCAAGCCATTCACTCCTTTTGCACATAAGGAAATTGAGGTCCTGAGAGGATACTGTGTATCAGGAGATTTTACATGGTTAAGCTGGATCTGGGATCCAAGTCTCCTAAGTCTAAGCTTGACAGAAGGCCTTGTATATTGGTTCACAATGTCTACAATTGAAACTCTGTTGTTGGGGTGTCTCTGCCAGGAAGCCCCCTCGGATTACCTCTGATTTTCCTCTCATCTTCTCTTTCCACCCACCACTCTATATACCAGACTGTATGTTTCTAGGCCTCCTTCCTCCAGCCCAAATAGCTACCCAGGAAGGACTTACCACCGAGGTATTGAGCCCTGAGGTCACAGGGTCTCTTAGCTCCTTGCATGTGTTTCCTGCCTGGCGGCACACAACCATCTCCTTGATGATATTCTCTGGGTCTGTGGCCATCTTCACATCCGACAGCCCCTTGGCCCAGGCAGATGAGCTAACTAGCCACATGAAGGCGAATACTGCTGTAGCCAGAAAATCCTAGGATGGGCATGGATGAGAAAGACGACATTGTGACTAGACTGCTTTGAACGGGCTCGGGAGACTTTTTTGAGGGTGGGGGGAGGTCACCAAGAAAAGGTTTCTCTCCTGCCTTTCAGGCTCTGAAGGCCACAGCATTTTCCCCTGAAGGTGACCCTCCAGCCTGAGCTTGTATGAGTGTGTGTGATACAGAAGTGTGGGAGTGTGATTGTATTGCGGGAGGAACTCCGTGGGCTGTTTCCGAATCTGTGAGAAGTGTTGTGTGTCTTTCTACTTTTATCTGCATGTGGGAATTTATGTCATTTTACGTCTGGGTTGAGGGTGTGTGAATATAGCTGTGTAGGAATCAGTGTCTGTGTGGCAAGATGACATGTGTGCTTGTCGCAGTGAACCTCTGAGTGCTCCTGCCTTTGATCTAGACTGCGTGGTTGTGTGAGAGTTGGCAAGTTTACAGTTTGTGGTCTTGTCTGTGATTCTGTGTGTGGGATTCCCTGGGACCCTGACTCCAGGTCTCTGATGCCCAGTGTGGACTCCAGGTGACATCAGTAGCCAGCAGCTGCTTCCACATAGGTGCCTGGCTGGGAGTTGGTATGGCCTAGAAGACAAATGAACTGTGTTCCTGAGGCCTCCCATCCTTAATCTCAGGGCACAATGGGCTGTGAAGACTCACCATCATGGGTCCTTTGTTGTTCTCACGGTACTTGTTCTGCAGGAAAATGTAGGTGGCCAGTGCCCCCATGGAGTAGAGGAAGGCAAACACAGCCACTGTGACAAAGAATTCAGCTGAGGAGGAGTAGTCCCCCACTAGGAAGACCTTGGTGGTGCCTCCTCGGCAGTTGGGTGCATCAAAGTACACTTGGTGCAGCCTGTAGAGAGAGGTGACCAGGTAGGCTCCAACTCCCCAAAGCCCCCTTCGCCTCCCAGACATGGGTCCCCCAGGTTCCTACAGGGTCCCAGGGAAATAACCATTCACAGAGCACCTGCAATGTACCATTCACATTTTGTGGATTGCTCAGAGCATCCTGGCGAGATAGGTATTAATTCATCCAATCCAGGCACTTTTTCTTGCCTCTTAGTTATTACTAGAACTCACCAGGCATCCTTCTATCCCAGGACCATTGCATTGATGGTTCTCTTTGCCAGCAGGGATGCTCTTTCCTTGGATATCTTCATATCTTATCCCCTTCTTATCTCCTTTAAGTTTTGTTCAACTGTCACCCTCCACGAGGCTGTCCTAGAGCTCACTATTTACAATTCATTTGAAACATTCCTTCTTTGGCACACCTTAGCTTTTTTCTTGGTCCATTTTCCTCTACAGCATTGATCCACACATGACACAGCGGGACATACTAGAAGAGGGCTTTACCCTCTGTCTTGTTCACTCATAGATCCTCTGGGTCTGGAACCATGCTGGCATATAGTAGGTGCTTAGGCAATGTTTGTGGAATGAAATGTAGAGAGGTGGAAACAGGCTTAGAGGTGTATTCACTTGCTGAAAGTCACATAGATGGTAAGGGGAATGATAAGGTTGGGGTCTGAATCTTGTTTTTCCCCCACATGATGTCAACCCTTCCCATCCCACTTCAAGTCCCTGAGAGAAAAAAAAAATGTATGTATAGCAGAGGACAGCCCAGTGGCTACAACATTGGAAAAGACAAAGACAGACAGACAGAATGCACATGGGGAGGTAAAAAGGATCTTGGAACAGCATGTGTATATATGAGGTAAGAGACAATCTGAGGTGTAATGCGACTATGGCATGTACCATGGTGTGATTGAAGAGGGGGAGTGTGGCTATTGGGGAGAAGGATTGGAGTGGGGGGCCCATACCTCTGGACTCAGACTGAGGGTTGGGCAAGACCCTGAGACTGAGAATAGTGCTGATGCTCTTCTATAGCAAAGGCCTTTACATTTATCAATCATCTACTAAGCACTTTATGTAACTGTCACATTTAATGACACCACAAGTGGGTATTTTTTTTTGGGTCCAGTCGTGGAGCCTGAACTCTGGGGCCTGGGTGCTGTTCCTCAGCTCTTCAGCTCAAGGCTAGCGCTCTACCACTTGAGCCACAGCGCCACTTCCGGCTTTTTTCTTTTTGCTTATGTGGCGCTGAGGAATGGAACCCAGGGCCTCAGGCATGCAAGGTAAGTACTCTACCACTGAGCCACCTTCCCAGCCCCATCAAGTGGGTATTATTATACTTATTTTACAGATGAAAAAGTAGAGGATTAGCAAAGCTAAGTTAACTTGCTCAAGGCTGTCCAATGAGTTGAATTTGCATTTGAGTTTCTGTTTCTAGTGGGCTATGTTGGGAGAGGGAGTGTTTGAGGGGGAATGAGGAGTCATGGGTGTGGGGAGATTTACTTGGCAGGATTCAAAGCACAGCGCTTTTTCCCCTCGAAGACTTGTGGGTAAAGAGAAGATCCTCTGGCCTGAGGTCCTAGACTGGGGTGGGGGTGGGGGCTGCAGGCAAATTCATCAGGGCTTTTTGTTTGTTTTTGTGGATTCCCAAAGGAACAGCTCTCAGCAGTATCCAAAGCTGCCAATTGTCCCTCCTTTGCCAAACTCTCTTCTCCCCGAATATATCAACAAATAGATCCCTGAACACCTGCCCCTCTGTCTCTCAGGCCATATTCTCCTAACCTCTTCTTTCCATCATTGCTTTGGGCTTAGGCTGGGTCTCTCTCTTTACACTCTTCCTTTTCCAACTGAGTCATCTCTTGGTTCTACATTTACACCTTGTGCTCTCAAACTAATTTTCAGCTGGATGCTTGGCCTGTTTCCTGAGTTCCTGACACCCATTGCTTTCGTTAAGTAATTAGTGGTGGGATTTGAACTCAGGGCCAAGTGCTTGGTAGGCAAGCACTCTACCACTTGAGCCATACTGTCAGCCCTTTTTGCTTTTATTATTAAGATAGGGTCTTACATTTTTGCTTAGGGCCTTGATCCTGCCTCCGCCTTCCGAATAGTTGGAATTACAGGTGAACACTACCACTCCTCTCTTGTTTCACACATACCGTGGAGGGTACTTTTGACATACCAGGCACTATGCTAAACACTTTACGGATGAGGAAATTGAGACTTCAGCAGTCATGTAAGTAGTGGGGAAACCTCAAATGAAATTGTGTTTGTGAGCCCATCTCCTCACCCCTCAGGGAGTAGCATCCTCTCCAGCCTCTGCTCACTCCTGTGTAGTAGTACCCAGCACCCATGCCCAGCACATAGTAGGACCTCAGTGAATATCAGGATGGTTCAACTGGGTTCCATCTACTACAAAATTCTGTGTGAGGATGGATCTGTTCCTAGAATTTCTCTGCATCTGCAATTATCTTCTTTATTAATTATTGTGTTTGCCATAAGGTAGGCTCCATGAGGGTTAGCAGCTTGGTCTGGCTTTAGCCTCTGTTGTGTCCCCAAGCACTTTGGGCAGTACTAGCAAACAACAGATTCTCAAAAAATGTATCTTGGGACTGGGAAGGTGGCTCATTGTTAGAGTGCTTGCCTTGCATGCATGAGGCCCTGAGTTCGATTCCTCAGCACCACATAAACAGAAAAAGCTGGAAGTGGTGCTGTGGCTCAAGTGGTAGAGTGCTAGCTTTGAGCTGAAGAGCTCAGGGACAGTGCCCAGGCCCAGAGTTCAAGTCCCATGACGGACAAAAAAAAGTATATGGAATGATTGAATGAATGGGGCTTAAATAGGAATGAGTTTTTGAGGCAGGGTCTTACTATGTAGTTCAGGTTAGCCTCAAACTCACAATTCTCCTGCTTCAGCCTCCTGAGTACTAGGATTAGAGGCATGAATCACATCCAGCAACTAACATTAATTGGGCATCTACTGCAAGCAAAGAGGTGCGTGTGTGTGTGTTCTAATTTTTTTCTCTTTCTTTCTTCTTTCTCCCTTCCTTCCTTTCCTTTCTTTCTTCCTCTTTCTTTTTTGGTGCTGGGCATGGAATCCAAGCCCCTGCCCATACTATGCAAGTACTCTACCATTATGCTACCCCCAACCCTGTGTGTATGTGTGTGTATGCTGGTACTACGGCTTGAATTCAGGGCCTCACACTCTTGGTTGGCTTTTTCTGTACAAGGCTGGTGCTCTACTTGCGCCACAGCTCTATTTTTGGCTCTTTGCTAGTTAACTGTAGATAAGAGCCTCTCAAATTTCTCTGCCTAAGTTGGCTTTGAACCTAGATCCTCAGATCTCAGCTTCCTGAGTAACTAGGGTTACAGGAATGAGTGAGCCACTTGACTACCTGTCCTATACTTTTGAATCTTGTCTATTGCCTGCTCCCTTCACTTAGCACAAAGCCAGAGGGTAATAACCTGTGTCTGTGTGCTCCTATACATCCAGAACAGTAACAGGTACACAGCAAGTGCTCCGTGCATGTAACAGCCATCCCACTGGTTGTGGACTCTTGAGGTGAGGGCTTCTCAGAGATCAGCGGGATGGAGGCCAGACCCACCCTGTCCCTGGCATGGTCAGTTGGGATACCAGAAGGGGTACACACCTGAAGGGGTACTCAAATTCAACCTCAATGCTGAGGTCACTCTCAGTCTTGTTGGCACACTCCACACTCAGCCGGAGCTCCCCGTCATAGCTGCCACAAGTGGCAAAGGCGAAGATGGCAAAAACCTTGAGTAGCAGGGATGGGAATGGCTATAGTGAGCCTGAGGCATGTATGGGAGGGGTGCCCTCCTCTGGGCAGATGGGGGCTCAGCATAGGCAGCAGCAGATGGAGAGGTCTCCCCCCCCCATTCCCTAATCAGGGCTCATCGGGTCCAAGTACAAGCTGATTACAGGGGTGTGGTTGTATCTGTGCTTCTGTTCTACCTCTCCGTGCTCTGACCTTCCTTCTTTCTACTTGTTCCTGACTCCCTGTCCATCTTTGTGGTTCTCTGTTCTCTCTGTCCCTTGATCACTAATTTTGTTTCTTTATGTGTCTTTGTCTTTTTTTCTTCCAGAGGTCTCCTATCTCTGATTCTCTGCCTCTCCTACACCTCCAGGTAACTATTTATTCTCTCTGTGAATGCATGTCTTTCTATATCAGTGTCTTTCTGTTTCTTGATCCTTTTGTCTCTATCTCTATGCTGTCTGTCATGCAGGCTCTGGATGTTTCTGTCTCTCTTGTGTTTCTTTCCCCCCACCATGTGCTGTTTTCTCTCTCTCCTATTTTTTTCTGAGTTATCTCTTTCTGTCTCTGTCTCTCTTTCTTACCCACCCCATTTTCTTGCCTCTGTCCCTGTGTCGATTTCCCTTTGGATCTCTGTTCTCTGTACTTTTCTCTCTCCTTTTGCTTTATGTGTTTCTCTCTTCTTTCTCTCATCTCTATATCTCTTTTATTTTCTCAGTAATTTTCATCTATTTCTACCATTTCCTGCCTCTCATTTTTAAAATCTCCTTTGCTATCTCTGGGTTTCTCTAGCTTTGCATGTCTCTCCCAGAAATCTGGCTTTAGGTTCCACCGCCTCTCTTCAAGAGGGGAGAGGTAGGACGTCACAACCTACCACTTCACCACAGGGGGTACCCCTCATCCTTATGTGACGTCACAGTCCATCCATCTTCTGGTCTCAATCCTTGGGACCTCATCTCCTTCCATGCTCCCTGCCCTTCCTCCACGGTCTTCAGGATCCCACTACCATTTTCTCTTCTGAACTTCTCCCCACCCCCTCCCCACATGACCCAGACCACACTCACCCATTGCAGCACCTTCACAAAGCCAAGGGGTTCCTTGACCACCCGGAACTGACCCCCAGCCACGAGCTGAGGAGAGAAACAGTGGGGAAGGGGTGGGGGGGAGGTGAATAGAAAGGGAAGTGAGGGGCAAAGCTGTCAGGCAATGATCCCTAAGGATGGGGCATGTGACCTCCGGGAGGGGTGACATTTGGAAAGGGAGTGAGAAGGAGAAAATGACACCTTGAAGAACGAACAAGCACTAGAGAAGACCCCCTTCCCCCAAGGATTCAGGAATGGAGATGTCTGGGGCGTGATGAATCAGATAGTGGAAGAGGTCAGGGGTGCAGAAGATGGGGCTGGGGTCTGTTCTAGCTAAGGTAGGAGGATCTGAAACCCTCAATGGTGAATCAGATAGGGAAGAAGGTTGGTTGGAGAGAGTGAGGAAGGAGTCAGGGTTCAGGAGAGTGGGGGAGGGGGTCTTGAGTGGTGAAGGTGAGTCATAACAGGGCGGGTTGGTTAGCGTGGGGGAGGGGTCGGCAGCGGTAAAGGTGAGTCAGATGGTGGTGGTGGTCTTAGAAGATAGGGATGGAAGGGGTTGGTATTGGTTTGGGAGGGGCGAGGTTCCGTGGTGGTGAAGGATGAGATGGCGGAGAGGGTCTGGATTGATTGAGGTTGGGGAGAGCTAGGACATGGCTCCAGTGGGGATAGACGTTGAGGATGAGGAAACTAGGGGTTTTGGAGAGGCAAAAATCGGATCGTTCCCCTATATCTCTTCTCAAATAAGGGGTGGTCAGCTACCGGGGTGCAGTCTCTTTGGGAGGGGCGGGTGTCAGACCTTCCCCACCCCACCCCCACACCTTCTGTCGCTCTATTTCCGAGCTCATCTGCAGCCCCCCTCAATCTTCCTTCCATTCTCCCCATTCTCTATCCTTTCTCCCGGCCAGCTCCGAGGCTCTTTCTGCTCCCTTCGAGATCGCCAGTACTGATCTGAGCTTCTGGAGGCCCCCGCTGCGGCAGTGAGGATGGCCCTCGCTGCGGCAAAGAGCGCACTCCTTCTTTTTTTCAACCTCCCCTTTCCTCCCTTTGCCTGCCACAACCTCCCCAATCACAGCCTCAGGAACCAGGTCTCTGCTGCCCGGACACCATTTCTTAAAATTAGGGAGTCTAAGTGACCCCTGGGTCCGGTGGTAGGGAAGCAGTGGACTCTGTCCTTGGTACTGGAGCGCATACCTGATTCACCACGTCCATGTCTGCCAGCAGCAGCATCAGCAATGCAGGGGGCGGGAGGTGCCTGCTAGCAAGGGCGTGCGCGGGGCGCAGCGGGGGCGGTGCGCGATCGTTGGAACAGCCCAAGAGGGGGCAGCCCCGCCCCTCGCAGCCCCCGCCCGGCGCGCCTGCGCACAATGAACAGTTTGCCGGTCTCAAGGGCCTTGGTGGTCGCCATTCCAGCCTGAAGGCTGAATCTGGAAAATCGTGCTGGGAACATCATTGTGAAAATAAAAGCTAGCAGTCTAAGGCAAGGAGGACCACTCATTTCTAGACTATGACACTTTACTTGGCTATTAAAAAAAACTTGATTTATTCACTTATTTAATCCCCATGCAGTAAGGGATTCAATGTTTTTACAGATGAGGAAAATTAGTCCCCCAGAGAGATGAAGTGACTTGCACTAGTGACTTGCACGAGGTCACACGGTTAGTAATTGGCAGTGCCCAGAATCTTTGCAATTAAAACATAGTTCAAGAACGTGAAGTTCCTTCTTGAAAGTGCACTTCAAACAGGTCCAAAAAACTCCTTTCTTCATGTTACTAAAACTAAGGACATCAAGGTCCATGATGGCTGTCTTGTTGCAAAATACAATAGATAAAATTCAGTTCAATTACACTCATACCCTGAGAAATGCCCATAAAAATTACTAAATGCCTGATAACTGTTTTTAGAGGACAAAGAAACTTTTCACTTTATATTCCTTTATCTTTTCACTTGAAACATCTGAATGTAGACTGTTTTGTGCTATCCCTTAAATTTTTTTTTTTTTTTTTTTTTGCTTAAGGCTAGCTAGCAATCTACCACTTGAGCCACAGCTCCACTTTCAGGTTTTTTTGGTGCTGAATTGGAGATCTGAGTCTCACAGTCTTTCAGCCACCCAGGCTGGCTTCGAATTGTGATCTTCAGATCTCAGCCTCCTGAGTAGTTAGGATTACTGATATGAGCCACTAGTGCCCATCTGTGTTCCTATTTTTAAAATGTACAAATATGTAATGAATACTTCCCAGTTGCTGCCTTATTGGAGGAAGCAATACACTGGAAGGGGTAAGAGCATGGATTTTGGCATTTAGTTCCTTGAATTAGAATTCCCTTTCTAATGTTTGACCTTGAATGTGTAAGATGGTTTAAAATGGTATGTATAAGGTCACTGTACTGATTAAACAAGACAATCAATCATGGTAACACAGTTAGCACAAGGCCCAAGAAATGGTTTATTTTACCTACTTCAGTCCTCTGGAGTGTAATCACTTCTTGCCATCTCCTCTCTCACCTCCTCTTGCTTAAGGGGACCATCATTTCTGCCAGTTTTAGCATCTCCAGTCTCTTCCCCCTCCCTTCTGTTTTCAGCACAGCTATGGGAGTATCTATTTAAAATGCAAAGTTAACCATGTCACTACCCTACTCAAATTCTTATGGTTTCTCATTGTCTTAGAAACAAACCCATGTTTTGGGGGCCAGTAGCCAAGGCTCTGTATGATCTGGACTCAGGTGGCTTCTTCTACTTCATCCCTCAGCAGTCTCCCGTCTCCCTTCTTTTATTATTTTTTGGCTGAGGGCGGGAGTGTAGGTTGGTTGTGGTACTAGGGCTTGAACTAAGGGCCTGGGAGCTGTTCCTTAGCTATTATTATTATCATTATTATTTTATTGTTATTATTAAGGTGATATATAGAATGGCTACTATTTCATAAGTCAGGTAATGAGTACATTTCTTTTTGGACGATGTCACCCTCCTTAGCTTTTTTTCCTCAAGTCTAGGTGCTCTATCACTTGAGCAGCACTTCTAGTTCTAGCTTTTTGGTAGCTAATTGGAGCTAAGATTCTCACAGACTTTCCTGCCCTGTCTGGCTTTGAATGATGATCCTCAGATCTCAGTTGCTTGGGTTGCTAACAGGTGTGAGGCTCCAGCCTCTTCTTCTCTTTCACTCTCTTCACCCTCCCTGCCCATGGCTTGCTGTCCTATTATATACCAGCACAACCATTTCAAGCATTTTTTTTTTTTGTTGGTCGTGGGGCTTGAACTCTGGGCCTGGGCATTGTCCCTCAGCTCTTCAGCTCAAGGCGAGCGCTCTACCACTTGAGCTACAGCGCCACTTCCGGTTTTCTGGTGGTTTATTGGAGATAGGAGTCTCACGGTCTCTCCTGCCCGGGCTGGCTTTGAACCGCGATCCTCAGATCTCAGCCTCCTGAGTAGCTAGGATTACAGGCGTGAGCCACCAGCGCCTGGCCATTTCAAGCATTTGTTTCAATGCTTAGTGTAACTCTCTGGAGTTCCAGTCTTTACTGTGGCTTCCCCTTCCATTTCAATGTAGCTTGATTGACACAAATGAGAAACCCCTACTGTGAGTGAGGTGGTGACTGTAAGTTAGACTCTCCTCAGTAGTGGCCCCATCCTCCATCATTCACTACAATGATTCCAATTCCTTTGTTTTTTTTTTTTTGTCGGTCATGGGGCTTGAACTCTGGGCCTGGGCGTTGTCCCTCAGCTCTTCAGCTCATGGCGAGCGCTCTACCACTTGAGCTACAGCGCCACTTCCGGTTTTCTGGTGGTTTATTGGAGATAGGAGTCTCACGGTCTCTCCTGCCTGGGCTGGCTTTGAACCGCGATCCTCAGATCTCAGCCTCCTGAATAGCTAGGATTACAGGCGTGAGCCACCAGCGCCCGGCTCCAATTCCTTTGGAGTGGAACTAATTCCCACTTGGGGTAAGCCTTGTTGCATGTCTAAGCCAGCTCAGTTTGCCCTGAGGGAAGCCCAACATGGCTCCTGGCACACAGTAAGTGCCTGAGAAGCCTTCCATGACGGAACAAAGGTGGGGTGATAAGCAAAGGTGGAGCAAGAATCAGAAAAAGGATAGTGGAGGTTGTGGCTCAAGTGGTAGAACTTCGGCCTTGAGCAGAAGAGCCAAGTGAAAGCAGAAAGTTCTGAGTTCAAGTCCCAGTACTGGCACTTGGACAGCTATGTGAGAGGAGAGTGGGTAACTCTTACGCGGTTTCAGGAAGGTCAGGGGACTCTGAGCAGGTTCCCAAGGGCTACCAGCCCCACCCTTTGTTGTCACCTATATTTTCTACTAATGGATTTAGGTTTTCTTCTTTCTCAGGTAGAAGACAGGAGATGGGAGACAGGGTAATCTCAACTTAGCCTCCTTGAAATTCCTGATGCCATAATAGGACCCTTCTTCCTAAAATACATTTTGTACCAGCCACCTCCAACCTCCAGGCCTTTCTACTGAGTCTCTTACAGGCGTCTTTATCGTTTCCTTTCCACTTGTCTGTCCTTCCTTCTTCAGTCTGCCCTGACTGACCCCTCATTGTGGAAATCTGCTTTTCCCTACCATCCAAGTACCTGCCACATCTTCTCTTTCCCCCTTCCTCCATCTCTGCCCAGTGCCCTCCTCCTCCCCCACCACCTCCGCTCTGTCTCCAGCTTTTTTTGGCTGCTGTCTCTTCCTCCTCCTCCTCCCTCCTTCCCTGACGCTGAATAATCAGGCCTAGCTGTCCTGGTTTCTGGAAATACCCATGTGTGGGCAGTAGCTCAGGGCTGGAACTGGGGAAGGAAGGAAGGAAGGAAGGATGGATGGATGGATGGATGGATGGATGGATGGATGGATAGGTGGATGTGTGGGGATGACTGGGCAGACCCCTCAGGGCAAAGATACCCAAACACAGCAATATGTGGTCCATGTCTGTCCCCTTCTGGAGAGGGGAGACACCAGCTTTATTGAGTCTTGGAGGGGGTGATGAATTCAGATGGCATGGACACAGGCCATCTCATCTCTCAGGTCCTCTTCGTCAAAGCGGGAGAGGATGGACTCTTCATCACTGTACAGTGAGTTAGTGCCCTGTGCCAGCAGGTCACTGGCAGCACTGTCCATCTCATCCAATGTCAGACAACATGCATCTGCAATCTCCTGCTTGGCTAGAGCCACGAAGTGTGGGTCTCGGGCAAAGAGGCCCAGGCCCTCGGAGATCAGTACCTGGGGGATGCAAGTGGGATCACCATTGATCAAAGGCACACACATAATGTGCCTGACACAGAACATGGAGACTCCTTTACCTTCCTTCCTAAGTGCCCACCACTTCCCCTTACACCCCAGCCTCTTTGACTACATCACCCCTCACAGACTTACAGCCTCCACCAAGCTGTCGGCGCTGCCTCTCTTGCGGTGGCTAGGGTCTGGGTGAGTTCCAGGCACGTGCAGACAGGTAAAGGTGCGAAGTGGACCACTGGATTTGCCAAGATATCCTTCCCCCGCTGTGCCCTCTTCCACCAACAATAGTGGGGCATATAAGAGTCGTCCCCTCTGAGGAGGGGTGGCCCAGGAACCCTAAACCAGAATAAACATCAAAGGGACAGGGATTGACAGGAGGCTGTAAGGGTCTTGAACTCCCTCTTGTGAGTCTCATCCCTCTCTCTCAATACAAAAATAGAGTAAAAGAGAACATATGTGTGCTGGGTTCCAGTGGCTCACACCTGTAATCTTAGCTACTCAGGAAGCTGAGAGCTGAGGATCATGCTTCAAAGCCAGCCAGTCCAGGCAGGAAAGTCTGTGACACGTTTATCTCCAAATAATCACCAAAAAGCCAAAAGTGGAGCAGTGGCTCAAATGGTAGAGTGCCAGCCTTGAGTGAAGAAGCTAAGGGATAGCACCAAGGCATTGAGTTCTAGATTCTGTATTGGCCCCCACACACAAAAAATCCCAGAATAAGCAATAGATGTAAATTAGACTTGATGTTCTTTCTTTTCTTTTCTTTTTTTGGGTCCTGTCCTGGGGTCTGAACTCTGGGCCTGGGCGCTGTCCCTCAGCTCTTCAGCTCAAGGCTAGTGCTCTACTACTTGAGCCACAGTGCCACTTCCAGCTTTTTTCTTTTTGCTTATGTGGTGCTGAGGAATTGAGCCCAGGGCCTCAAGCATGCAGGCAAGTGCTCTACCACTGAGCCACCTTCCCAGCCCTGTTTTCTTTTTCTTTTTTCTTTTCTTGCCAGTCTTGAGGTTTGAAATCAGAACCTGGGCATTGTCCCTCAGCTTCTTTTTCTCAAGGGTAGTGCTATACCACTTGAGCCACAGCACCACTTCTGGCTTTATCTGAGTGGTTTATTGGAGATAAAGCATTTCACTCACTTTCTTGCCTGGGCTGGCTTTGAACCATGGTCCTTAGATCTCACCCTCCTGAGTAGCTAGGATTATAAGCATGAGCTACCAGCACCCAGCTCATCTTTTCTTTATTTCCAAGTGTAATTTAAGTTATTTTATTATTTTATTTTTATTTTAGTTTTATATTTATTTTAGTTTTATTTTTAGTGACAAGGTCTCATTATATAGGCCTGGTTATCCTGGAGCTAGTGATTTTCCTGCCTCAGCCTTAGAGGAATATACCACCATGAATGGCTTCTTTTCCCTTCTTTTTCTTTCTTTCTTTCTTTCTTCCTTCCTTCCTTCCTTCCTTCCTTCCTTCCTTCCTTCCTTCCTTCCTTCCTTCCTTCCTTCCTTCCTTCCTTCTCTCTCTCCCTCCCTCCCTCCTCCCTTCCTTTTTATTATTATTATTATTATTATTATTTTGGGTCCAGTCATGGGGCCTGAACTCGGCCTGGGCACTGTCCCTCAGCTCTTCAGCTCAAGGCTAGTGCTCTACCACTTGAGCCACAGTGACACTTCCGTTTTTTTTTTTTTTTTTTGCTTATGTGGTGCTGAGGAATAGAACCCAGGGCCTCAGGCATGCAAGGCAAGTGCTCTACCACTGAGCCATCTTCCCAGCCCCTTATTATTATTATTATTAATAATAATAATATTGTTGGGCTTGAACTCTGGGCCTCGGTGCTGTCCCTGAGCTCTTCAGCTTAAAACAAGCCTTCTACCACTTGAGCCACAGCACCACTTTCTTTCTTTTTTCTAGTACTTGGTCTTTTGTTATTTTTTTGTCAGTTATGGGGCTTGAACTCTGGGCCTGGGCACTGTCCCTGAGCTCTTCAGCTCAAGGCTAGTGCTCTACCACTTGAACCACAGCACCACTTCTGGCTTTTTCTGCTTATGTGGTGCTGAGGAATCGAACCCAGGGCCTCATGCATGCAAGGCAATCACTCTACCACTGAGCCACCTTCCCAACCCTCTAGTACTGGGTCTTAAGACCTCCCTTGTTCAGCTAGTTTGATTATCTGGAAGTCTAACACTTGAGTCATGCCCCCAGCCAAGCTTTTTGCTCGTTAATTTGGAGATGGAGTATTTCAGACTTTTCTGCCCAGACTGGCCTTGAACCATGATTCTTAGGATGCCAGTCCCCTGAGTAGCTAGAATTACAGGCATGAGCTACAGGTGCCCAGCTTAATATTCTCCCCCTCTCCCTCCTCACTCTCTCTTTGTTTCTTTCTTTGTTTCTTTTTCCTTCTCTTTGATTCAAATCTGGCTGTTTTTTATTTGTGGTGGTGGAGATGGTACTCAGGGCCATCCTTTACCATATAAAGCAATTGCTCTACCACTGAGCTCCACTCCTAGCCAGAAGCTCCACTCCCTTCACAAGGCCTAGATTTAATTGTTGCTGCCTAATAGCTGTGTGATCTTGGGCAGATCAACTTCTCGGCCTCAATTCCCTCATCTATAAAACGGGAGCAGTAATACCTAGCTCACAAGTACAAAGAGGATTATGTGCACTCGTTCACATGTGTCCCATTTTGCTGACAGCCTGACGGGTAGTGTGTTTGATAAGTTCAACTTAGGCTCCCCCACCCCTGCAGACCCCAGCACCTCACCTGAGCTCTGCCAGGCCCTGAGTTCCGCCCACGATGATAGGTGCCTGGGATGGGTAAATCTTCACAACTTCCCTGGCGTTGCAGACACTGGATGGTGAAGGAGGGCTTTCGATCTGGAGGCAAAGAACAAGGTTGGTCCATCTCTATCTCTCAGTTCTGTTTGTCCTTAGGAGACCTGGAGGGCTCATCCAAAATCTTTTTATTTTTGTGTCAGACCCGAGGCTTGAACTAGAGCCTGAGCACTGTCTCTAAGCTTTTTTGCTCAAGGCTAGCACTCTACCTCTTGTGCCACAGCTCCATTTTCAGCTTTTTTCCCTGTTAAATTGGAGATTAAATCTTACAGACTCTTCTGCCTAGATTGGATTAGAACTTTTATTCTCAGATATCAACCTCCTGGGTAGCTAAGATTACATGGATGGGCCATTGGTACCTGGCCCCTCAGTCCTACTCTCTCTCTCTCTCTTTTTTTTGCTAGTCCTGGGGCTTGAACTCAGGGCCTGGGCACTGTTCCTGAATTTCTTTTGCTCAAGGCTAGCACTCTACCACTTGAGCCATAGCACCACTTATGTCTTTTTCTGTTTATGTGCTACTGAGGAATTGAACCCAGGGCTTCATGAATGCTAGGCAAGCACTCTACCAGTAAGCCACATTCCCAGCCTCCTCATTCCTATACTTACCTGCAGGTGTGGGGGGCAGCAGACGTCGACGTTGTATGTGGTGCCCATTTACGAATCTCTGGGATCGTTGAGGTGGCAGAAGGACTGGGGTTGACATAGTCCCTGCCTGTTCATCTATGTAGGAGAGCCTGTGCAGAAGGGTCAGGTGTGAACTGAGGTCTAGGACCCAGTGTTGGAGGTACCTGGCCCCTCAGTCCTAGTCCAAGTCCTAGTCCTAGTCCTAGTCCTAGTCCAAGACCATAGTCTTGCCCTCCCTGGGTGGTTTCTTTTCTTTTCTTTCTTTTTTTTTGCCAGTCCTGGGGCCTGAACTCTGGGCCTGGGCACTGTCCCTCAGCTCTTCAGCTCAAGGCTAGCATTCTACCACTTGAGCCACAGCCCCACTTCTGGATTCTTCTGTTTATGTGGTGCTGAGGAATTGAACCCAGGGCTTCATGCATGCTAGGCAAGCACTCTACCACTAAGCCACATTCCCAGCCCTGGGAGGTTTCTTATGTGGTGTGCCCTTGTGCCCAGTGTACCGGTCAGGAACTTCCTCTTCTTCATTCTGACTGTCTTGCCCTTTAGTAACCTTGGGCTGAGGACTTCCTTCTTCTGGGATAGTGAACATGAGAGCCCCAGAGTTTCTCCTGGAGAAAGCAATGCACATTAAGCAAATCAATCCAGTCAGGCACTAGTGGCTCACACCTATAATCCTAACTACTTAAGTGCCTGAGATCTGAGAATCTAGGTTTGAAGTCAGCTTGGGCAGGAAAGTCTATGAGACTATTATCTCCAATTAACCACCAAAGAAGCTCGACTGGAGTTGTGGCTCAAGTGGTAGAGTGCTAGCCTTGAGAGAAAAAGCTAAGGACAACACCCAAGCCCTGAGTTCAAGCCCCGGTACTGGCACAAAATAAAGCAAGCCAGGTTTCCCCTTCCCCCAATATATATCCCTGGGTTCCTGTTTTCCATGCTGTATCTCCTACAAAAACACTGAGCTTTACAATTTTTTTTGAGGAACAGTCACACAGCATAAATGTAACTTTTCTGTGTTGGTAACTGGGGCTGGAATACCGGGCCTTGTGTTCTTGCTTGATTTTTACTCAAAGCTATTGTCCTACCACTTGAGCCAAACTTTACTTCTAGCTTCTTGGTGCTTAATCAGAGATAAGAATTCTGCCTTGGCTGGCTTCAAACTTTGGTCCTGATATCTCAGCCTCCTGAGTAGTAAGGATTACAAAAACAAATAAATACATAAGTAAAGAGGAAAAGACTCAAAGTTTCAAAAAACTCAAAGTTGGCCTGCTGAAAAGACAGCATCAACGTGACAACCACGAGTGTTTGCAGGGAGTATAAGCTAGGCATTTGGTATGTATGATGTGTCATGCATTATGCATTTCATTATCCTATGAAGTAAGTGCCATTCTCATCCCCATTTTACAGATGAGGAATTGGAGATTGTAGAAAGAAAATATCTAGTCCAAGTTCACTTAGCAAATGACAGAGCCACTATTTAGAGATTGTAGAAAGAAAATATCTAGTCCAAGTTCACTTAGCAAATGACAGAGCCACTATTTAAATTCAAACCCAGTTGGCTCTATATCATATAACATTGCTGTTTTCATGACTCTTGTTATCCTCTATTCCCACTCATCTAAACACTTCCATCCTTCTTAGACTTTCACTTGAGGGCTTCTAGGCCCTTCTCCTATGCCCCCCAATATGGTGTCTAACTCTTGTTTCCCCTCACACCCTTTCCCAGATGTTAGACTGTACCTGTGAGGCTGTGATGCAGCCTGGGGCATATCAGGCTGTCTGGAATTTGGACCCCTCACATCATCATCACTGGGCCCAGGAGAGAGTGAATCTGGGAGACTTTCCCCAACAGGCAAAGACACAGAAATCCTGGAGCTCCGGCGAGATGGCGGTTGAGAACCCATGGGGGCCTGCAGAAATTCATAAGACTGAGTTTTTTTTTTGTTGTTGTTTTTTTTTTTTGGTCAGTCATGGGGCTTGAACTCTGGGCCTGAGCGCTGTCCCTCAGCTCTTCAGCTCAAGGTTAGTGCTCTACCATTTGAGCCACAGCGCCACTTCTGGTTTTCTAGTGGCTAACTGGAGATAAGAGTCTCACGGACTTTCTTTCTGGGCTAGCTTTGAACCTCGATCCTCAGATCTCAGCCTCCTAAGTAGCTAAGATTATAGGCATGGGCCACCAATGCCTGTCTGAGACGGAGTTTTATATTAGTGTTATGTCTAAGTCATTTGGTTGGTTGCATGTATCTTTCACTGCTCCATGAGTTCCCAGGGGTTTCAATAAAGATTTTTCTAGCTGGGTGCTGGAATCTTAGTTACTCAGAAGGCTGAGATTTAAGGATGGATGTTTGAAGCCAGCCTGGGCAGAAAAGTCCCCATGAGACTCTTATCTCCAATTAACCACTCAAAAACCAGAAGTGGTGCTGTGGCTCAAGTGGTAGAGCACTAGCCTTGAGTATGAAGAGGCTCAGGGACAGTGCCCAGACCCTGCGTTCAAGCCCACAACCGACCATAAAAAAAGATTTTTCCATTGTGAGCCAAGTACTGGTGGCTCACGCATATAATCCTAGCTACTCAGGAAACTGAGATCTGAGGATCATGGTTCAAAGCCAGCTTGGGGAAGACAAATCTCCTGAGACTCTTATAATCAACCAGCAAAAAGCTGGAAGTGAAGGTGTGGCTCAAGTGGCAGAGTCCCAGCTTTGAGTGAAAAAGCTAAGCAAGAACTTGAGGCTCTGAGTTCAAGCCCCAGTACTCAATAGTTTTTCCATTTGGGGAGACACCATGAAAGTCATGTAGGGGTTAGAAGGAATATTTTAAACTCCAGAGTTCCTGGGGAAATTAAAACTTGTCCTCACTTTGTATGTTTCTGTATCTTTCTGAGCCTCCTCCTCTCTTTCTTGTTGCTCTTCTTCCTCCTCTTCTTCCTCCTCCGTGTCACAGGTGAGGGCCTGCCGAATCTCAGGACCCAAGTCCTGTAGGCTCCTTAGACCAGCCTATGGGGATAAAAAACAACAATAGGCTGGAGGGGATGTGGCCAAAAGGGAACCCTACTGCATTGTTGGTAGGAATGTAAACTTGTTCAACCACTTTGGAAAGCAGTATGGAGGTTCTTCAGAAGATTCCACATAGAGCTCCTCTATGACCCAGCAATCCCACTTTTGGGCATTTGCTCAAACTATCACAAACAAGTGTATACTAAAGCTATCAGCACAACTATGTTTATTGCAGCATTATTCACCATAGCTAAGATATGGAACCAACCCAGATGCCCCTCAGTAGATGAATGGATCAAGAAAATGTGATACACACACACACACACACACACACACACACACACACACACACACAATGAAATTCTTTGCCTCCATCAGAAAGAATGACATTGCCCCATTTGTTAGGAAATGGAAAGACTTGGAAGAAATTATATTAAGTGAAGTAATCCCGGCCCAAAGAAACATAGGTCCCATGGTTCCCCTTATTTGCAATAACTAGGACTAGCAGAAAAGGTCAAAAGCTATGTACATATGACCATATAAGATGATGTTAAGTGAAATGAACCCCAAGACAGAGACACAAGTGGTTTTTTTTCTTGCTGTTGCTTTTTTAAAACATACTTATAATATGCTATGTGATTTTTTTGTTTCTTTTGTATGCTCTTCCCTCATGGTATTACCCCTGTTTTCACTGTATTTGATTCTGGTGCCCTGCATAATGTATACACACTTTTCTAATTTGGGGAAGGGAAGGGAATAAACAAAATGCTTAAATAGGGATACAGGCTAACCCATTGTAACAATGAGATGTACAAGACACTATGTTGAAAACGAACTTTACAACTTGTGGGGAGGAGAGAGGGAGGAGTTGGGGAGGTGGGGAGGGAAGGGATGATAGGGGAAAAATAAATGAAGAGGTAACAATGCTTGATAGGAAATGTACTTATTACCTTACTCATGTAACTGTAAACCCTTTGTACACTATCTTTTTTACAATAAAAATGTATTAAAAAACAACAACAGGGAAATTGGCAGCTCAGGGTTTACATGCATACAAGGGTGTGCACACAGGGTGGGTTCTCAGCCACCCCTGACTCTCTATTGGGCCTGGGGTCTGACTTTCCTCATCTATGACATAAGTTTCATGAGATCAAGAAAGAGGTCAGGCTGTTGCTGGTAGCTCTCGCCTGTAATGAGATCTGAGGATCGTGGTTAGAAGCCAGCCTGGGCAGGAAACTCCATGAGACTCTTATCTCCAATAAACTACTCAAAAAAAAGCCAGAAGTGGTACTGTGGCTCAAGTGATAGAGAACTCGCCTTGACCAAAAGAAGCTTCAGACAGTGCCCAGGCCCAGAGTTCAAGTCCCAGGAACAGAAAAGAAAAAGAAAGAGATCAGCCTACACACTCGCACAGTCACACTAGGCCTTGTGCTGAAAACCTGAAGGACAGAGGATGTGCTGGGTGGGGCCTCAGTTCCTAGTAGCCCCTTTTCTTTCCTCCTCCGGAATTTTCGGAAATAATCTTGGATCAGGAAAGTGGCATAGAATTTGCCCACGGTGACCTCCTCCTCTGGGGACAAAGGAAAGAGGACAAAGTTACACAGAGGTCCACTGCCCTACCACTGCCTCTCTACTTCCTACCCAAAAGCAAGAATTGCCCCTTACCCTAGGGCCAATGCTGGTTTTGTGATGGAGAGCAGACGATATGAGCAGATGATATGAGCAATCACCCAGGATCAAGGATTAGGGTGAAGGGGGCACTCACCATCTGGAGGGGGGATGACTTCATCTAACAGCTTCTGCTTTATCCGCTTCCAGATTTTTTTGATGACCATCCGTAACTCCTGGTTGGCTTGCTCCAGGTTCCCTACATTGGAAGGAGGAGAATGAAGTGCAGATGAAATAAGAAGAACATTTGTAGTTGCCACTAATTGTTAGTTAGGGGCTTGAAAACTTTGATCAAAACTAATCATAATCCCCATCAGACAAGATGGGGACATCAGTCTGGAGGAACTTCATGATGTATCTGAGGTATCAGAGCAAAGATTTGGGTCTTCCACTTTCTGAGTTGCTCCTGATACTCTCCCAAAGGACTCTCCTATTCTTTTATCTCTACTTCTCCTCCCATTTCCCACACTTTTTGCTTTGTTTCCCTGCCCCTTTATTTCTTTGTGTTGCTACTGGGGCTTGAACTTAGGGCCTAAGCACTGTCCCTTAGTTTTGTTTGCTCAAGGCTAGTGTTCTACAACTTCAGACACAACTTTACTTCTGTCCTTTTGGTGCTTAATCACAGATAAGGGTCTCACAGGCTTTCCTGCCTGGGCTGGCTTTGGACTATGATCCTTAGATCTCAGCCTCAGCTAGATTACAGGCTACTTATGCTGGTGAGCCACCAGCACCCGGCTCACCTTCTGTCTTGATCTTTAAGGATGTTCGCACCAAGGCAAAGAGTGTGGCATTGAATGTCACCGTCCCATCTGAGTTGAGAGGCACGTTCATTGCCACAAGTCTCTGCAACACCAGAATCCATTCTGAGAAAATGCCAGGTATGTAGACAAGAATACCTAGACTCAGAAACCTTTGGTTTGTGAGCAAACAGCTATCCCAACCCAAGACAAGTCCTTGTCCCTCCCTATCTAGTACAGAGCCCTCCCAAAGACCAGAAGTAGACGGGAAAGGTGGAACACAAACCTTACAGGCCACTCGATGTGGGCACAGCTTCCCAAATCCCAGGGGGGGCTGGATGCGTCTCAGCAGGGCAACCACGTCCAGGTGCTTGATGCGGCCCCTGGGGCAGTTGGGGGAGGTTCCACTGGACTGGCAATACCCACTCCAGCCCTTTCTTGAGGCCCAACCAGCTCATCGTCACCTCCCACACTAATACTCTAAAGTCTTGCAGGAAAGAACTGAAGGATAGTTGGAGAGGATAGAGACAGGCACAGTAGAGATCCGGGGGCACCTATTGGTAGGTAATAGGATGCACGAGTCACAGATTCTGGGGCTAAAGGACTATAAAGGGCATTTTTGCATTGTCCCCTGGAGATTCTAGGTTAAAGGTTAAAGGGCATACTTGGCCCCAGGATCATATTCAGACCAGATCCTCTTGAATTCATCAAGGTGATGGGGGCCCAGGATAGACCAATCTCTTGTCAAATAATCGAAGTTGTCCATGATCACAGCCACGAAGAGATTTATGATCTGTGGACCAGTGAGCAAGCAAGAGTTAGGGGCACTGAAGAGTCAGGTCATGGGGGATTGGAGGGAGGCCAGGATGATCCTAAATTATCAATAGGTTATGAGTCTCTAGGTAGATTGTATTATCATGCCAGCCCCCTCAAGATCTGGGCTGCTTGTCTCACTTGGGCATCCCTGGGCCCCCTGGAGGCCAGCCCTTATGGCAATGGCAGTGGCTGTGGGGGAAATGGTTCTCACCAGGAAGGCACAGAGCATGAAGAAGCTGATAAAATAGGCAATGGCAAAATTGCTACCACAGGTAAACTCCTCGCCAGGGCCAAAATCAGACTCTGGGTCACATCGGTTTCCAGGAAGGCTGGCGAGCATTATCTCCTGCCATGCCTCACCAGTAGCACACCTGGAGAGGGCACACAGGAGCGGCATTTTGTAGGAGAGGCTATGCAATCATGGAAATCGTGGAATTATGGAGGATTGGGAGAGTGAGGAGGTAGCCTACTTCTCTCCAGGGTTTACTCCTTGCACACACATAATGATACTTTAACAGCTAGCATGACCATGTTGATAATAGTGATTTTTTGGGGAGCTGGTCCTGGGGATTGAACTCAGGGCCTGGACATTGTCCCTGAGCTTTTTTTTTTTTTGCTCAAGACTAGTGCTCTATCTCTTGAGCCACAGTTCCATTTCCAGTATTTTGGTGGTTAGTTGAATGTAAGAGTCTCATTGACTTTGCTGCCTGGGCTGGCTTCAAATCAGGATCCTCAGATCTCAGCCTCTTGAGCAGCTAGGATTGCCTCTTACAGATGAAGGCACTGTGGATTCAGAAAGGGGTTGTATTTTCCAGTCAGAAAAAGAATGGCTGTGAGTAGAATAATTTAATAATTTTCCCCAAATCATACCCTGAAAAGCTTTCAGGCTATATGGAACTCCAGGATGCCCTGTTCAAGCAGTCTGGGACCCAGAGAGGGTGTAGGAAAAACCTAAGGGCATACTGGTGACCAAGGTGGCAAGGAAGTGGGAAGATGTCACCTGAACAGAAGCAGCACAGCCTGTGGAAAGGTCTGGAAGTTGTTGTTTCGGTTGATCTGTGTGCCATCTTGAAGAGCCACCTTGCCAAACATCTGTAGGCACACATAGGTTATATAAGGGGGTAAACCCATGCCTCTCACTATATGTTTCCACCCATTTCATATCTGCTAATAGGTAGAAGGTCCTCATAATGAATGCTGACAAGCAGGCATGGCAGATCCATTTCATGGATGTATTAGACTGACCCCGGGCCATCCAGTTTGTCTGTTTTTCTACCCACAACCCTTGCTTTGGGGCTATTCCTATCCAATTGTTTCCCTTCCTGTAGAAGGGGGCCAGAAGATTGTTGCTTAGGGTCTCCACTTACCTGCATTCCAATGACAGCATAGATGAAGAATATCATTGCTATGAGAAGAGCCACATAGGGTAAGGCCTATGGGGATAGGAAGATAGATGCTTAGGTTCAGGCCAAACTATAAGTCCCAGAATGCACTGTTTCTCCTAGCTTGGGCTTGTTGGGAGATGAGTTCATAATCAAAATACCTAGGACTGGGCTGAGCTACTCAGAAAGCAGAGATCAGGAGGATTGAGACTCAAGGTTAGCCCAGGCAAAAAGTGAATGGGACATCATCTCAACAAATAAGCTAGACATGTGTCAGGTACTGGTGGCTTAGGCCTATAATCTTTGCTACTCAGGAGGCTGAAATCTGATCAGGGTTCAAAACTAGCCTGGGCAGGAAAGTACATGAGACTCTTATCCCCAGTTGACTACCAGAAAACTGGAAATGGAACTATGGCTCAAAGTAGTAGAGTGCCAGCTTTGAGCAAAAGAGCTCAGGGACAGCACCTAGGCCCTGAGTTCAAGCCCCATGACTGACAAAAAGAATAAGCTGGACATGGATGTACCCCTTTAAATTTCATCTTCACAGGATGATCACAATCCAAGGCTAATCAGGTAAGATCTCAAGACCCTAACTGAAAAATAACTAACGCATAAAAGGATAGCAGTATGACTCAAATGGTGGGTCACTTGTCTAGCAAACCCAAGGCCCTGAGTTCAAACACAGTACCACCAATAAATAAAGTACCTAAGACTACCAATGTCTTCCAAATGTGTTATTGTACTAAATAGAATATACTAAAGTCAGTGAGGTCAAAGGCATGTTGGGAATTGAGAGCCCAGGAAATAGAGTGGTATTGCATGCTGGGAGATGTAGTTCTGAGGTAGTAGAGCAGCAGACTGAGAGGTAAAGGGTAGAGGTGAGATGTAGTCAAACAGATGGGTTGAAGATTACCTGGAAGGATTTGATGAATGTCCAGAGCAGTGTGCGGATCCCTTCTCCCTTACTGAGAAGCTTGACTAGCCGCATGACTCGGAAGAGGCGAAAGAAGGTGATAGATATTCGAGAGCTGTCCTCAGAGCTCTGTGATTCAGGATACAGAAAGTGATGCTCTGGTCAGCCCCATCCCCATTCAACTCCCTTATTGCATGCTTTGAGCCTCCCAACTGCCATATCCCTCAGAACTCAGCTCTCAGAGTGGTTAAGTAGTATATCTAAGAAGGACTCTTAGGACAAAAGAGAGGAAGGGTAGAAGAGTGGACCAAGAAAGTGTTTATTTTGGGGAGACTACCTCGCCGAGGTGGCCACCATTCTGGAGGGACATATGGCCAAACACAGGTGACAGAAGATATGATGAGAGCAGATGTTCAGATGTGCAAGGAGAGAATGATGGACCAGGTACAGGGCAGGATAGAGGAGGTTATACGGTAATGGATCAGTTTCCAGTTTGTGGAAATAGTTGGTAATCGGGGTAGAAGGGCGAAGAGTATGTAAAGGAGATGAGGAAGGAATGACATTGAAGGGAATGACGGAGCCAGTGTTTCACAGAGATGATGGAGATGAGAACAAATGGACAACCCAATGTAGAAATGGAACCAGCAGCATTGTCAGTTGAGGTGGTAGGGCCATGGAGTATCCAATGGAGAAGATGATGGAGTCAACCGTGTAGACAGTGGTGATGACAGAGCCAGGAAAGAGCCAGTGTTGGAGATGGTGGAATTGATGGAGGAAATGGAGCCAATGGAGTAGTCAGAAGAGACGATGGAGCCCAAGGCAGAAATCAGTGCAGATGATGTAGCCAATGGAGAGGGTGACAGAGATGATTGAAAAGAAAAACAAAAATAAGAGAAGAAGCATTGCAGGAGATTGTACAACCAGTGGATAGATTACAAAAGAGTGGAATGGAGGGGGTGGGGGGAGAATGGGAAGGAATGGGAAGGAGGAGGCTACAATGCTTGATAAGAAATGTACTCATTATCTTACCCATGTAATTGTAACCCCTCTGTACAGTATTTTCACAATTAAAAAAAAGAAAAAAAAGAGTGGAATGGAGTTGGTAGAGGGAGGGAGACTTCATCTGATCCCAATATGGATTTTGAAGAGATAGAACTAGAATGGGGTGTCCTATGTCTCTAGGAGTGGGGAAGATATGAATGGGAATCAAATGAAGGAAGGTCTGAGGTAGAGATAGGAAAAGGTTTGGTGTGGAGGAGAGGAGTTAGTAGAGAGGGCAGTTCTCACATTGACTTCAGTGACGGCGATGTCCACTACACTGCCCACCACAATAAGTGCATCAAACGTGTTCCAGGCATCAGCAAAGTAATGCTGTGGGCAGAAAGAAGACAGGGCATTGTCTTTTCTCAGCTATCTGCCTGGCACCAGTGGCAGAGAGTATTAGGGAGGTAGGTCCTGGCTTGGGCCACATGATGGACCTGAATCTGGATCCTTCTTACTCCCTAGTCTCATGATTTACCCAGTTACTGCCTCCCTGAAAGTTTTGTAATGAGCCCCACTCCTAAGGAATACACACCAGGGTGTGTCTAGGGCAGGGGTGTACCTTGGGTTTGAAGGCAATGATTTTGAGAACCATTTCGATAGTGAAGAGGCCAGTGAAGACCATGTTGAGAATGTCCATGGCGTAGTTGAAGGGAGCAGTCTGTTCATAGTGCTGGAAGAGAAAAGCAGATGAGGACAGAGCCTGAAGCAGCTATTTGGTGGGAGCCAAATAGTCTCTAGCCTGGGCTCTGGTGATTCTGGGGATATGACAGCACTATGGGATGTCCAAACACCTTGTATTGTCTGCTTTTCATTATAGAAACTGGAAAGACTGCTTCTTGATTAATTTTATTTTTTATTTTTGTCAGTTGTGGGGCTTGAACTTAGGGCTTGGGCATTGTCCCTGAGCTTTTCTGCTCAAGGCCAGCGCTCTACCACTTTCAGCCACAGCGCCACTTCTGATTTTCTGGTCGTTAATTGGAGATAAGAGTCTCACATGGGGCTGGGAAGGTGGCTCAGTGGTAGAGCGCTTGCCTTGCATGCATGAGGCCCTGGGTTCCATTCCTCAGTAACACATAAGCAAAAAGAAAAAAGCTGGAAGTGGAACTATGGCTCAAGTGGTAGAGCGCCAGCCTTGAGCTGAAGAGCTGAGGGACAGCGCCCAGACCCAGAGTTCAGGCCCCATGACCGGACCCCCTCCCCCCTGGGGCTGGGAAGGTGGCTCAGTGGTAGAGTGCTTGTCTTGCATGCATGAGGCCCTGGTTCCATTCCTCAGTACCACATAAGCAAAAAGAAAAAAGCTGGAAGTGGGACTATGGCTCAAGTGGTAGAGCGCTAGCCTTGAGCTGAAGAGCTGAGGGACAGTGCCCATTCCCAGAGTTCAGGCTCCACGAGCGGACCCCCTCCCACCCCCCCAAAAAAAAAGAGTCTCACAGACTTTTCTGCCTGGGCTAGCTTCGAACTGAGATCCTCAAATCTCAGCCTCCTGAGTAGCTAGGATTCCAGGAGTGAGCCACAGGTGCCTGGCCTCCTACTTGATTTCTAACTGCTCTTACAAACTGGCAAGGCAAGTTTTGTTAATGAAAAATAAATGTAAGTTGGCTGTTGGCTGACAGCTTCTGTGAAAAATATTTTGCCTTCCATTAAAACACTCAATAGAGGATAGTGAAATCTTTCTCTTTTTTCCTTCCTTGATTGTGGTTTTGATGTCTGTAGCAGCTGCCTTGTGATCAAAAAGCAATAAGCATGTAAATGGCAGCCAGCTTGCCAAGAATGGTGGAGTAGAAAGATGGCCAGAGCCTGGATCTTTGGGTTGTTGTCCAAAGGCAAACAAACCTTTCTTAATGCTTCTCATTATGTGAGCATAATTCATATCCTATTTAATTCACTCTAGATGCTCTCTCTATCTTTTTATATTTTAGAATCTCTGAAATTGGGGTGTATTTTACAACAAATGACAACTTACAATGTCCATGAGCCATTGTTTTCACATTCTTTTTTTTTTTTGGGGGGGGTCTGGTCGTGGGGCCTGAACTCTGGGCCTGGGCGCTGTCCCTCAGCTCTTCAGCTCAAGGCTAGCACTCTACCACTTGAGCCACAGCGCCACTTCCGGCTTTTTTCTTACGTGGTGCTGAGGAATCGAACCCAGGGCCTCGAGCATGCAAGACAAGTGCTCTACCACTGAGCCACCTTCCCAGCCCTGTTTTCACATTCTTATATCACTGAAAACACAATGCAGTGTATAATTATTGGCCTTAGATTGATTTGGAAAATGTAAATATCTTTTTTTTTTTTTTTTTGTCGGTCGTGGGCCCTGAACTCTGGGCCTGGGCGCTGTCCCTCAGCTCTTCAGCTCAAGGCTAGCGCTCACTTGACCCTCAGCCCCACTTCTGGCTTTTTCTGTTTATGTGGTGCTGAGGAATTGAACCGAGGGCCTCGTGCATGCAAGGTAAGCACTCTACCACTGAGCCACCTTCCAGCCCCAGCGGTACATATCTTAATAGCTCAAGTCTCTATCAGTTGGGAGGTTTTGTTACTTGCAACCTAAAGCATCCCCAGTTACTTGTAGCCTAAAATATCTCCAAGCATTCCCAGTGGGTAGAAAGAACAAGGGCAAGTATATGACAAAGATCAGGATGGGGAGCTCAGACCTGCATGGCTAGGGCAACCGTGTTGAGTAGAATGAGCAGGAACATGAGGTACTCAAAGGCAGCAGAGTTCACAGTGGCCCACACACGATACTGATGTGGGTTCTTGGGGATGTATCGGCGAAGTGGCTGGGCCTTGAGGGCATACTCCACACACTGGCGCTGTGTAATGTAATGGTGCAGAGAATGAGTAAGCAGGGAAGTCTCAAGGTAAAGGGAGAGGAGTTGGTAGTCATGGGTAGGGAGTCAGAAGTCACCTGGTTCTTGTCCAGCTCACAGTTTTGGTACTCCTGTTCTCCCTGCGCACGGAAGGTGATGATAACAAAGCCCACAAAGATATTCATCATGAAGAATGCAATGATGATGATGTAGACAATGAAGAACACAGAGATCTCCACGTGGTAGTTGTAGATGGGGCCTTCATCTTCTGCATGTGCATCAATGGCCTTGTATAGCAGTCTGTGGGAACCAGCATGAGGCAGGGAGGGGAGAGGTGGAGACAGGTGAGGGAGTATCTCAGCCCCTCCAACCTGCTTCCAGACCTCACACATACATCAGAATCTTCTGTGTGGCATATCAAAGGATTGTATGTTCCCCACCTATCCACTTAGGACCCCCATACATTTTCTAAAGACCTCTACAAAGCCCTCTAAGGTCCCCAAATCTCTGTTCTAGCCCCCATCTAAAAACCCTCATACAGCCTTCTAAAGATCTCCAGCTAGACTGTCAAAGATCCCACAAATCTCTTAAGTTTCCACAGAACTCCAAATACCCTTATTCAGCCACATGGCAACCCCTATGAACTCTCCAGAATTCTCCTACAAGTCCCTAAAGATCTCTAAATTGCTGGGTGCCAGTGGCTCACGCCTGTAATCCTAGCTACTCAGGAAGCTGAGATCTGAGGATCATGGTTCAAAGCCAACCCAGGTGGGAAAGTCTGTGAGACTCTTCAATAAACGACCAGAAAACCGGAAGTGGTGCTGTGGCTCAAGTGGTAGAGTGCTAGCCTTGAGCTGAAGAGCTGAGGGACAGTGCCCAGGCTCAGCGTTCAAGTCCCACAACCGACCAAAAAAAAAAAATCTCTAAGTTGGCCCATCATCTCAAATCCTCTGATCCATCTCCCCTAGAAATCCCCAAGTGGCACCCTGAAGACTTGTGCAGCTCACAGAAACTTTGAGTCCCCTGCTATATCCATTGATGAACCCCCTCCCCATCTCCCATCTCTACTCAGTCCCCCATAAATCCTACCCAATCACTTTTAAACTTCCATTTAGTCTTTCAGGAGACTTGTATGCAATTTCTGTAGACTCTTACCCCAAATCCTCAAAGAACTTCCAGTCTGCTTTGGGGAGACCTGCCTCCAACAATCAGTCCTTTGATACAGCCACCAGTCTCTGGAGACCTTAATTACCTCCCCAAAGTATATTTGCATCCATTCCTAGGAGATCCCCAACCTATTTCTCAGAGACTTCCACCCAGTCCCCGGCCATCCTTAGGGCCCTGCTCTCACGCAGGCCAGCCTTCAAAGGTAGATACAGTGAACAGGGCCATCATGGCTGAAAGGACGTTGTCAAAGTTGAAATCACTGTTGACCCAGAGCCGCTCCCGAACCAGGGGCCGCGACACATCTCCATCAGGGTAGATGAGGAAGGAGCCCCTGTGGATGTTGCAGAATGAATAAGTGAATGAGGAGAAGTGGGGGGCTGGGATAAAGGGTGTGAGGTTTCTAGCATGAAGGCAACAGGCATGGTGATAGAACTAGACAGTCTGGATTCAAATCTTATCCTGTCATTTTTCTGCTATTTGCTCCACATCCAGCTTTTTGCTGGCTATTTGGAGATAACAGTCTCTTGGATTTGTCTGCCTGGACTGGCTCTGAACTACAGTTCTCAGATATCAGTTTTCTGACTTGCTATCATTACAGGCATGAGCCATCCAGCACCCAGCAAGTAGCCAGATACTGTGCTGGATTTTCCATGCAGAAAATTTAGACTGTAATATAATTTTCTTTTTTTTTTAGTTCCAGTCCTGGGGCTTGAACTCAGGGCCTGGGCACTATCCCTGAGCTTCTTTTGCTCAAGGCTAGCACTCTACCATTTGAGCCATAGTCTCACTTCTGGCTTTTTCTTTTAATGTGGTACTGAGGAATCGAACCCAGTGCTTCATGCATGCTAGGGAAGCACTCTACCACTAAGCCACATTCCCAGCCCCTGTAATACAGTTTTCAAGCAGTGACTTGGCTTCTTCTCACAGCAACTCTACAAGATAGGCACCTCTTTTATTCCTATTTTTCAGCTGAGATAAACTAGATTCCACAAAGCTAAAAAATGTTCCAAATCACATTAATCTCAGTAATATCTGGTTTCATGGCTCATGTATTTTTTGGGGGGCAGTATTGGGGTTTAAACTCAAGGCCTGGATGCTACATCTGAGCTTTTTTCCCCCTCAAGACCAGCACTTTACCACTTGAACCACAATCCAACTTCCTGCTTTTTGGCGGTTAACTGGAGATAAGAGTCTCATGGAATTTCTTGCCTAGGCTGGCAATCCTCAGATCTCAGCCTCCTGAGTAGGTAGGATTACAGGTGTGAGCCACTGGTGCCTGATCCATATTTTTATTTTTAAAATATTAATTAATTGCAGTATGGGGGTTTGCACGCAGGGCCTCATGTTTGCTGGGCAAGCATTCTACTCCTTGAGTCATGCCCCTAGCCCTTTTGCTTTTAGTTTCATTTTTCAGAAAGAAACTTATGCTTTTTGCCCAGACTAGCCTCTAACTTCAATCTTCCTATCTATAGCTTGCTGAACAGTAGATGTGCTAAAATCACGTCTTGTTTCTGAGACAGGATTTTGCTAACTTTTGCTTGGGCCGGGTTCATGCTGTGATCCTTCTATTTACACTTCCAGAACACAACTCATGCTCTGGAGCACAGCCTAGAAAGGATGTCTCTAAAGAAAATCCAGGGACTTATAGGAAAGACATTGCTTGGGGGCCTGGAGTGGTATGTGGGTAACTCTGAGGAATATAGAGAGGGATCTTGGGAGGTCATGTGCATGGCTCTTTAGGCTTGATGATATCAGAAAGCTTCTGTAGTTCTCTCTCTCTCTCTCTCTCTCTCTCTCTCTCTCTCTCTCTCTCTCTCTCTCTCTCTCTCTCTCTCTGTATTGGTGTGTTGGTCTTGGGGTTAGAACTCAGGGTCTGGCCACTGTCCCTGAGCTTTTTCACTCAAGGCTAGCTCTCTACCACTTGAGCCACAGCTCCTCTTCTGGTTTTCTGGTAGATAATTGCAGATAATCTCACAAACTTCCCTGCTCAGGCTGGCTTTGAACCACAACCCTCAGATCTTAGACTCCTGAGTAGCTAGGATCACAGGTATGAGGCATGGGCACCTGGTAGCCACTCTAGTTCTTGGAGAAAGTTCTGGGGGGAGGGTGGATCTTGGATTTTGGGGGGAAATGTGTGGGTTTTAGGGAATTAAGGAAATCTTGGGGTTTCTACAGTTCTTGGGTGGAGGCTCTATGGGTTTCAGGGATAGGCCCCTATGGCCTCTTAGAGAGTTCCATGGAGGGCAGGCCTCAGACACTCACTTGCATTCTTTTGGGGTGTGTTTGGCTTCATCAGTACAACTGTAGAATTTCCCCTGTAGGGAGAGGATCACATCTGTCCAAGCAGGTTCCTCCTTCTCCCCTGCATTGACCCATGCCTGGTTCTCCCCACGGCATTTCCCCCACCTTGAAAAGTTGCACACCAATGCAGGCGAACATGAATTGCAGGAGCGTGGTGACGATCATGATGTTTCCGATGGTCCGGATGGCCACGAACACACATTGTACCACGTGCTGCAGGCAAAAAACCCCGAACACATGGCCCAATGGATACCATAGGCCATGTTGACCATGTGGCAGGGCTTCTAATGATAGATACATTTCAAGGAATTGGGCTAGGGACCTTCAGTGACTGATCAGAGATATGTGGTCAGAAACACATGGCCAAAAGTAGTGAGTGACATGGGTTCACACATGTGGGCACTAGCTAGGGACAAATGTTTGCTAGGCCTGGTGTTAGGGACTTAAATTAGATAAATGTGACCATTAGTAAGGAATGTATGGTAAATCACTTGCAAGGGACAAATCAGTCCTCAAAGCTAGTAAAGAATATCTGTCTATGCTGGGCGCCAGTGGCTCACGTCTGTAATCCTAGTTACTCAGGAGGCTGAGATCTGAGGATCATAGTTCAAAGCCAGCCCGGGCAGAAAAGACCGTGAGACTCCTATCTCCAATAAACCACCAGAAAACTGGAAGTGGCGCTGTAGCTCAAGCGGTAGAGCACTAGCCTTGAGCTGAAGAGCTGAGGGACAGCGCCCAGGAGCAGAGTTCAGGCCCCACAACCATACCCCCACCCAAAAAAAAAAGAATGTCTGGCTAGGTTGAGCACTGGTGGCTCATGCCTGTAATCCTAGCTACTTAGGAGGCTGAGACCTGAGGATCAGCGTTCAAAGCCAGCCCTGGGCAGGAAAGTGGGTGAGACTCTTTATCTCCAATTAACCACCAGAAAAGGTAAAGTGGCACTGTGGTTCAAAGTGGTAGAGTGCTAGCCTTGAGTGTAAAAGCTCAGGGACAGCGCCCAGTCCCCGAGTTCAAGCCTCATGACTGACCAGAAAATAAAAAAGAAAGAATTTCTGGTTTCATAGTGGGTCCAGACTATATGGTCATGCATCAGTGCAAAGGGCCGCTTAGATGAATGAGCCTGGGGTGGGGCAGGGCCTGGCTGAGGTGGGCTTACCTTGAGTCCCTTGGCCCTATTGATGGCTCGGAGGGGTCGCAGTACTCGGAGAACTCGAAGAATCTTCACTACTGAGATGGCACTGGAGCTGGGGAAGGGGAGGACCTCAGCCCCTGACCCAGGCTGGTCTTGACTTTGGGAGAAGTGGAATGGGCAAAGGGATGTTACTTACTGGATGCCAAAAGAGATGAGGGATACACTGACCACAAGCAGATCCAATAGATTAAACCAGCTACGGCAGAAGGAGCCACGGTGTAGGAAGGCCCCAAACACTGTCATCTAGGGACCAGAGGATCATTAGGAGGAGGAGACATGAATTAGAGAGAAAGGCTTTGAGGGTAGGTGAGGAGTGTGTTAGGATGACAACTGAAGATATGTTGTGGGGGAGGCTCGTTAGTCACCTTTAGTAGAATCTCCACAGTGAAAATGGAAGTGAAGGCATAATCGAAGTATCCTAGAATCTGGGGAGGGGGTGAGAAAGAGGGGAAGCCACTGAGTCATGAGAGAAGAGGATAGAGGTGGATTATGTGTGTACACCTTTTTATATAAGCTTTATCTTTTTTTTTTTTTTTTGGTGCTAATCCCAGGACTTGAAATCAGGGCCTGGACACTGTCCCTGAGCTTTTATGCAGAAGGCTAGTGCTCTACCACTTGAGGTATAGCTCCATTTCTGGCTTTTTTTGCTAGTTCTGAGGCTTGAACTTAGGGCCTGGGCACTATCTCTGAGCTTTTTTGCTCAAGGCTTTCACTTGAGCGATAGCTCTACTTCCAGCTTTTTTGTGGTTCATTGGAGATAAGAGTCTCATGGAGGGGCTGGGAAGGTGGCTCAGTGGTACAGCGCTTGCCTTTCACGCATGAGGCCCTGGGTTTGATTCCTCAGCACCACATAAGCAAAATGAAAAAAGGCGGAAGTGGCGCTGTGCCTCAAGTGGTAGAGCGCTAGCCTTGAGCTGAAGAGCTGAGGGACAGCCCAGGCCCAGAGTTCAGGTCCCATGACCAGAACCCCCCCCCAAAAAAAAAGTCTCATGGATTTTCCTGCCTGGTTTGGCTTCGAACTGAGATCCTCAGATCTCAGCCTCCTGAGTAGCTAGGATGAAGGTGTGACCCACTGGCATCTGGCTAGCTTTACCTTCTCTACCTCTTAATATCCTGAAGACTTTTCTACAAGCCAAAAGGTTTGCCCATTAGAGTTTATACCTTTAATTTGAACTCCTCTACCCAATTACGTTAGTGCCCTTGGGCCTACTTAATCTCTCAGCACAGCTCCCTATCCCTCCCCTCCATTCCCAGTTAAATCCTGATCCCCTGTTTGGCACTTTCCCAAGTGAGCTACATACATGGTAAGGGCTGCTGCTTTAGTAGAAACCATTATTATTGGGGCTGGGAAGGTGGCTCAGTGGTAGAGTGCTTGCCTTGCATGCCTAGGCCCTGGGTTCGATTCCTCAGCACCACATAAGCAAAAAAAAAAAAGCTGGAAGTGGTGCTATGGCTCAAGTGGTAGAGTGCTAGCCTTGAGCTGAAGAGCTGAGGGACAGCGCCCAGACCCAGAGTTCAGGCCCCACGACCGGACAACCCCACCCCCCAAAAAAGAAACCATTATTATTATTATTGCCAGTCCTAGGGCTTGAACTCAAGGCCTAGCCCTTGTCCCTGAGCTTCTTTTGCTCAAGGCTAGCACTCTACCACTTGAGCCACAGCACCACATCCAACTTTTTCTGTGTATGTGGTACTGAGGAATTGAACCCAGGGCTTCATGCAGAGTAGGCAAGCACTCTACCACTAAGCCACATTTCCAGACATCATTATTTTTTTATTATTTTTAAGCATTTGTGCAAAGGAGATTCAATCCAACATATCATTTTATGAGTATAACACATCTTGATCAATGTCACCCTTTTAGTAGTCATCATTATTGATTCTCTTAGTTCAATAAGGGGGCTTCTCTTTGTATCCACTATGGTACTGGCTTGTATCTCCCCCTACCCTCCCACCAGCCCTAAGCCCATAGGCTTACATGGTTTCGGAAGGAGTGAGCTCGGATGGGATCCTCAGCCGCCAGGGACACACTGCTAAGGATAATGAACACCAAGATAAGATTGGTGAAGATGTGATGATGGATGAGGGTGTGGCAGGCCTTCCTCAACCTGAGGAGTAGGGAAAGGGCTGTGGTTAGATCCTGGGACCACAGTGGTGGCTGGGATAGCCCAAGTGATACAGCAGGGCCCCTTTGCAGCCTCAGTAGCTCCCTGGATCTCCACCTGCCCTGCCCTCTCCTGCCTTGGTCACATTGCTGCTCCCAACACTCACGGGTTGGTTTGGCTGAGGCAGAAAAAGGCACTGCCCTCAGGGATGGGTACCACTTTCTCCTTGGGTACAACTTCCTGGAGGAGTTCCACACGCCCTGCACCCTCTTCCTCCTCCTCCTCCTCCTCTTCTTCTTCCTCCTCCACGCCAGGCACTGGACAAAGAAGCAAAGAGAAGCCGGGCGCTGGTGGCTCACGCCTGTAATCCTAGCTACTCAGGAGGCTGAGATCTGAGGATTGCGGTTCAAAGCCAGCCCGGGCAGGAGAGACCGTGAGACTCCTATCTCCAATAAACCACCAGAAAACCGGAAGTGGCGCTGTAGCTCAAGTGGTAGAGCGCTCGCCTTGAGCTGAAGAGCTGAGGGACAGCGCCCAGGCCCAGAGTTCAAGCCCCACGACCGACAAAAAAAAAAAAAAAAGCAAAGAGAAAATTCATTGAGAGGACTTGATGTAAAGCAATTGGAATGGTGTTTGTCATGTGGCAAATTCTTGCCGTTCCCTGGCAGAATGGCAGCTGCTTGGGAAAGGGATCTTAGTCTGTTTGGTTTAATGCTATGTGCTCAGCCCAGAGAAAAGTGTCTGGGACCCAGGCCAGTGAAGGTTGTATATGCACATAATTTGATAACAAAGGTTCTGAGAACCAGGTGCTGGTGGCTGGTATCTAGCCTGAGACCCAAGGATCTTGGTTTGAACCCAGCCCAGGCAGACAGGTCTCTGAGACTCTTATCTCCCATTAACCAGCAGAAAGGCTGGAAGTGGAGCTGTGACTCAAGTGGTAGCGAGCCAGCCTTGAGTGGAAAAAGGCATGTGAGGCCTAAATTTTTTTTTTAAAAAAAGCTCTGAGGGGCTGGGAAGGTGGCTCAGCAGTAGAGTACATGCCTTGCAAGCATGAAGCCCTGGGTTCGATTCCTCAGACCACATAAACAGAAAAAGCCGGAAGTGGCGCTGTGGCTCAAGTGGTAGAGCGCTAGCCTTGAGCTGAAGAGCTGAGGGACAGCACCCAGGCCCAGAGTTCAGGCCCCATGACCGGCAAAAAAAAAAAAGCTCTGAGGAGTTGTGTAGTAAAACAAAAATTCTCTTCTTTAACCTCAATGTTTAAAAGTGTTGATGACTACACACTAAGCCTGTGTATTTCTTTTTTCAGGATCATCTTTTCATGTTGGAGATGGAATACAAACTCTTCTACATGTCAAACAAGCACTCTGCTATTGAGTTACACCTTTATCCTATTTTTGTGCCAGTCCTGGGCTTGGGTGTTGCCCCTGTGCTTTTTGTGCTCAAGGCTAGCACTTTACCACTTGAGCCACAGCTCCACTTCCAGCTCTTTTTGTAGTTAATTGGAGGTAAGAGTCTTACAGACTTTCCTGCCTGGGATGGCTTTGAACTATGATCCTTAGATCTCAGCCTCTGGAGTAGCTAGGATTATAGACATGAGCCACTGGTACCTAGCAGTCCTTGTTTTTGTTTTTGTTTTTTTGAGACCAGGTTCTTGCTATGTAGCCCAAGTTGGCCTTGAACTCAAGATCCTCCTGTCTCTAATTCATAACTGCTGGAATTGTAGGCATATGCCACCACACTTGGTGCCTTCAGAGTGATCTTGGAAAAAGTTGTTCCCCTGAGAGGAAGGTGTTTGTGGTCAGGAGCTATCTGCCTTGGTTCTTCTATTCTGAAGACCCCATATACCCTCCACCTATCTACTTGCCTGCTCCTTCACTCTTTGCACCATTTCCTTCTTCCTTCTCCCCATCAGGGACCTGAAGAGAGGAAGATGGGAGTTATTCATGTTGGGGAAAATATATAGGATGCATGGGAGGAATTCAATAATGGAAAATGGCTTAGGCAGAGGATAGGTATTAAAGCCACACACAGAGACAGGTATGGGGGAGGGGAAATGTTGGCAGAGCCCAGTCTTCTAACTCACCAACTCGCCATTCTCCTTGGGGGCATTCCCTTCACTGCTCTTCTCTCTGTGTGAAGAAATTGGGGAGGAGGTGAATGCTGCAGATATTAGCAGATGGGCAAAGTTTGGAGAGGTCATTAGGAGCAGAATAGACCTTTTGTTGGGTTCCCTACAACATTCCCACCTCCACTCTTAACACACACACCCCTCACCCCTCAATCTGTTTTCACAGCATGTAAAATCCTGTCTTCCACATTCCTTTTCTAATACAACCTTCCCTTGCTCCCCTCCCCCAACCAAGAGCAAAAAGCCAAAGTCTTGGACTGAAAGCCACAGGAAGAAGGAATGGAGTGAACAAAGAGGAGGATAGAAGGAGCTGAGGGTCAATCATAGGGAGACCAAAAGGGCATTCTGGGCCAAAGTGAGAGTTTGAATTTTTTTTCCTTTCAGTACTGGGGATTGAACTCAAGGCTTTGTGCTTGCTAAGCACATTTGAACTATGCCTCTGGTTCTCATTACTTATTTTTTTTGTGCCAGAATTTGAGTTTGAAGTCATGTTCTAGATGTTATCCCTTAGCTCAAAGTTGGCCCTCTACCATTTGAGCCACAGCTCCACTTCTGCCTTTTTGTTGATTAACTGGAAATAAGAGTCTTACGGGCTGGGTGCTGATGTCTATAATCCCAGCTACTCAGGAGGCTGACATCTGAGGATCACAGTTATAAGCCAACCTCATTGGAAGAGCTGAAGATTCTTATCGCCAATTAACCACCAAAAAGCTAGAAGTGGAGCTGTAGCTCAAGTGGTAGAACACTAGTCATGAGTGAAAAAGAATAAGCTCAGGTTCAGCACTCAGGCTGAGCTCAAACCCCAGGACTGGCACAACAAAAAAGAGAGAGTCTCAAAGACTTTCTTACAGAGTCTGGCTTTGAACCACAATCCTCAAATCTTTGCCTCAGCTATGTGAGCCATTGGCTTCTGGAATTACTTATATCTAATGTCTACCTAAGTCATATACTCATGTTTGTGTTTTTGCAATCAAATCAACTCCTGAAAAGGTAAGGTATGTGTCTATTTTGACCCCTGCACTCTGTAGCATCTGCAATGGGTCCCAGCACAAAGTAATTGCTTAAGAAATGCCTGTTCAGCACAGATGCCCTACAGCAGACTAGTGGATCAAAATATGTAGTACCTATATACAATGGAATTTCACACAGCCATTAGAGCAATAGTATGTCATTTTCAGGGAAATGGACGACCTAGAACAAATCATGTTAAGTAAGGTAAGCTAAGCTCAGAAGACAGACGGTGCATGTTTTCCCTCACATGTGGAAGCTCGATCAAAAATACACCAGGACATGATAAATTATACAGGACTCTAGACATTCATGCACAGTGAAAGCAGAGGAGGGTACTTTAGGAGAGGTACAAAAAAGGTGCAATGCCTATGTGCACCTGATTATACAAAATAATATTTTTCAAAATGAACTCCAGGAAATGGAAACAAGAGGGTTTTTTTCTTTGTTTCTGTTTCTGTTGTGTTTTCTTTTGTCTTGTTTGTACATTTATCTGTCCTTGGAGGGACAAAGGGTGAACAAGTGGATACTGGATACTATGTTGAAAATGAACTGTATAACTTGTGGGTGGAGATAGGAGGGAACAACTGGGATAGAACGAGAGAAGGGGTGATATTGACCCCAAAAGAAATGTATTCATGACCTGATTTATGTAACTATGACCCCTTTGTACATCACCTTTATAATAACAATAAAATATTAAAAAAGAAAAAAATACCTGTTGAATAAATGAGTGCTAGAAGCTTGTATGTGAAAGTGGAGATTACTAGGGTGATTAGTTATCTCTGGTGGTGTGGGATGTGTATGAGGCTCCCTAGTCAGGGAAAGACCATTTTGGAGGCAAAGCCAGAGCTCACCTGCCCTTGTCCTTGGTAGTGCCTGCATCCCCGCTGGCCAAGTTATCCACAGCAATGGCAAGAAACACATTCAACAAGATATCTTAGATGAGCTCAGGCTGCAAAGATGGGAGCCTCATTGCAGACTTCCAAGGACCCCCCTACCCACTCCCCAGCCCACTCCCAGCCAGCTCCTCAGAGCTCCAAGGATACAGTTTCCACAGATGAAGAGAATGATGAAATAGACACACACCAGCATCCCTGGGAAGAAGGGGCCACCGTAGGCCATGATACCATCATACATAACCACGTTCCAGTCCTCCCCTGTCAGGATCTGGGAGTGGATGAAGAGTCACCACGAAGCTTGTTGGGACCTTCTGTAATTCCATGACACCCCTTCCCACCTCCCAACATACCCATCTCTGAGTCTCTAGGCTTCACCTGAAAGACAGTGAGGAGAGCCTGGGGGAAGGTGTCAAAGGTGCTTCGCTTGGTGTGTGTCTGGTCAAAGTTGAACTTGCCCCCAAACAGTTGCATGCCAAGCAGGGAGAAGATGATGATAAATAGGAAGAGGAGAAGCAGTAAGGATGCAATGGATTTCATGGAGTTGAGCAGGGATGCCACTAGATTGCTCAGAGATGCCCAGTGCCTGCAGCAGGGATATACAGGGCAGAGCTGGCATCCTATCTACTGACAACCAGGAGCCAGGGTAGTGTTCCTGAGTCAATGGGAAGTTGGGCACTAGTGGTTCATGCTTGTAATCTTAGCTACTCAGGAGGCTGAAATCAGAGGATCACAGTTCAAAGCCAGCCTAGGCAGTAAAGTCTGAGATTCTTATCTCCAATTAACCACCAAAACACTGGAAGTGGAGATATGGCTCAAGTGGTAGAGCAACAACCTTGAGTGAAAAAGCCAAACAAAAGCATGAAGCCTTGAGTTCAAGCCCCCTTATTGGCTCATGCACACAAAAGTAAAAAGTAAAGTACTCTGTGGAGTCAAGGTTAGAGGTGATTTGTAGGCTGGAGTGTGGTGAGAGTGAAAAATGAGGGAACTGCTGAGCTTCGGGTTCAGATTAGCATTAGGGTTGTCATGAGAGATGAGATTAGGATGCAGGTGTAGCTGGAAATTGATACAGCTAGAATTGGGTTTCAAGTTGGGACTGAGCTGTGGATGGGATAGTTGTTTGGAGGTGTGCAGATTTGGGATTGGATATGGAGCTGGGATAAGGTTGTGGTAGAGGCTTTGTCTAGGAGATGAGATGAGAAGAGGTTGGGGGCTGCACCTGGAGATAGGGTGAATGTTAGAAAGTAGGGATTTGTTTGAGGTTTGAGAATGGCATTGTACTTAGTAGTGATGGTTGAGTCTGGGAGTTAGGGATGAGGTGAGAAGGTGGGCTGGGCTTAGAACTGGATAGTAGAGTTGGAAATAGACCTAGAGTGATGCACATTGGGGAGTTAGGGGTTAGAGAAGGTGTTATGCTTTGGGGGTTGGGGATCAGTATGGAGTTGAGTTTGAATATAGCCTTGAGAGTAATGTTGGAGCCGGGCATTGAGGTTGAGGAACGGGATGGAAATGTAGTAGGTTTTTCCTAACGTACTCTACTCTTCCCAAGGGGAGAAACTTTCACTTATTTTTTATTGTCAGTCGTGGGGCTTGAACTCGGTCTGGGCACTTTCCCTGAGCTCTTCAGCTGAAGGCTAGTGATCTACCATTTGAGCCACAGCGCCACTTCCGGTTTTCTGGTGAATTGGAGATAAGAGTCTCACGGACTTTCCTTGCTGAGCTAGCTTTGAACTGCGATCCTCAGATCTCAGCTTCTTGAGTAGCTAGGATTATAGGCCTGAGCCTTATTTATTTATTTACTTATTTTTGTGTGCCAGTATTGGGACTTGAACTTAGGGGCTCAAGCTATTGCTTAGTTCTTTCTGATCAAGTCTGGCACTCTAGCATTCAAGCCACATTTTAACTTCTAGCTTTATTTTCTGGTTGATCGGAGATGGCTCTGGAATTTGCCTAGGCTGGCTTCAAATTTTGATCCTCAGATCTCAGCCTTCCTGAATAGCTAGGATTACAGGTGTGACTTACCAGCACCTGGCTGAAGTTAGGAACTCATGTCTGCTTTGATTCCTGGTGTTTCCCTAGGGCATAGACCCAGCACGCAGTAGGTGCTTAGTGTGTGTTTGCTAAATGAATGGTGAGGCAGATAAAATTCTCACTGGAGATGAGATACGGCAAAGCAGCCTGCCTACGGATTTGTATTTGGGGACCTAGTCTCCCCTCCCCTGAGTACACACCTGGTGACCTTAAAGATCCTGAGGAGACGCACACATCGGAGCACTGAGATGCCAAGGGGCTGCATGGCCCCCACTTCCACCAAGGTGGTCTCCAGGATGCCCCCGCAGACCACGAAGCAGTCAAAACGGTTGAAGAAGGAGGAGACATAGACAGAGGGCCCCAGACCATACAGCTTGAGGAGCATCTCCACGGTGAACAGACAGAGCAACACTTTGTTGGCATACTCTGTTGGGAGAGTGGCTGGGTAACTAGGCTGGCCAGCTTCTGGGGTGATATGGGGAGAGTAGGGGTCATGGATGATCTTGGGGTAACCAGTATCAGGCTAGCCACAAGCTGGAGGTGGGGGGTGGGTAGGTCAGGCTTGGAAGGGCCTAGAACTGGGGCAAGGAGCAGAGGTGGGCTTGGAGTCAGTGAGCTTCTGGGAGTTCAGGAAACCTTCAACTCAAGGGTTATGTTTTTCAGGTATGATGCTTGAATTCAAGGCCTGGGCATTGTCCTAGGTGTTTTATTTATTTATTTTTCAAAGCTAGCACTCTACCACTTGAGACACACCTCCACTTCTTGGTGCTTAAAGAGTCTCAGGGGCTTTTCTACCCTGGCTGGCTTTGAACTGTGTTTCCTGGATTTCAGCCTCCTGAGATTTCTGAGGTGGGAGCCACCTAGAGGTGTGAGCCACTATTGCTTTCCTTTAACTTTATCTCCATCTTTTTATCTTGTATTTTTTGTACAGGAGATGAATCCCAGAGCCTGATGCATGCTAACCACATGAACTACTGAATTGTACTCTCAGCCTTGAGTCCAAAGTTTTGTTGGGACTGAGGCTGGCTTAAGGGCTGGAGGTACAAACAAGCTCAGTAATCAGGTTTAGGGATCCTAATGAATAACATTACTTATTAAACATTCACTTACATATACAGCATTAATTTTATGGGAAGCCATGTGACACACTAAGCACTTTCCATTTGAAGCCACTTAATCCATATTGTGGATGAGGGAACTGAGGCACAGAAGAGTTAGCTTGCTAGGATATCATAATGTTAGGAGCTTGGATTCTCGGGCTAGAGTGCTTGGCTTCTAATTTCAGGTCTGCTTCTCAACAAGCTGAGTCTTAGGACTTAACCCTCCAGCATCTTGGCGATCAGTACCTTGACTCTTAATTCACACAAGATTGTAGTGAAGAGTCGAGGCATGTGAAATGCTGAGAAGAGAGCTTTATGCATACAGCAAGTGTCATCTATGAGTGTAGGTGACATGGTAGGATGGGACAGGCTAATGTTTCTGCATTTATGCTAGCAGGAAGACAGTGTGCTATGGGACTCCCTAGACAATACTAGATTTGAACTTGTAGGGTGGAGGAAGCAGGGGGTAGGAGAGGGACTAGACAGGCTGAGGGAGTACCTTGGGTCTGGGTGAGCCATAGGGGTTGTCCATGGTGCTCTGAGGCGATAGTCAGTGTGTTGAGGAAGACAAGCAGCAGTACGGCCCAGTAGCAGGCATTGGATTTCACAGCTCGCCGGCAACGAGCTCGGAGGCTCCGGTTGGCTCTGCGGAGGCGGCGGCTGATAGGAAGAAAGTCCACCATTGAGATCACCTACATAAGCCTGGGGAGCCCAGGTCAGGGAGAACTTGGCAGTAGGAAGGGTCTCAGTCACAGGATCAAGGAGTTGTGAAACTTTACCAACTCACCAAACTCTGGTTTTCATGATCTTGTTTCTGGAAAAGAAGAGGAGAGGTAGCTGTAATAAAGGGATGAAAAGGATCTGCAGATGGGCCTAGGGACTGAGATCAAGGTTTGAGACTAAAGCAAGGACTAGGGTCAGGGTCTGGGCTGGCCAGGGCTCAAGGGCTGAGGATTGCTGGGCACCAGTGTTTCATGTCTGTATCCTCACTGTTCATGTGGCTGAGATCTGAGGATCTGCTATCAACCCAGGTATAGAAATCTGAGAGATTCTTATATCCAATTATCCAGCAACAATCTAGAAGTGGAGCTGTGGCTCAAGTGGTAGAAAAAGCTAAGGAACAATGCCCAGGATACTGAGTTCAAGCACCAGTATCAACACACACACACACACACACACACACACACACACACACACACACGGCTGGAGGTCCTCACAGGCAGCGTGTACAACTGTCCAGAGTCCCTTCTTCTTCATCCTCATCTCCTGGGGTGTCTGCCATTGAACCGGTGTCACTGGCTGGGAGGCTGGCTGTGGGTAAAGTGAAGACAAAGGTCAAGACCTGAAAACCCTAGGTCCTGCTTTTACTTTTTCTCTTCTTCCTGCCCATCTCTGGCTGGGCCCACACCATGGCTGCTGGTAGAGTGGGTTGAGCGAGTGGAGTGACTAAACCAGCGCAGACGTCCACGCCTCCTATTGGTCAGCTCAGATAACTGTGGCCCTGTGGAGACAAAAAAGGAAATTGAGGATAACCTGAGATAGAGTTAGGACTATGTCTAGGGGAGGGGGTGCTATAGGGAATATTTGCATCTGAAGCTTGGTATTCTGAGCTAGAACTGGGGGTGAAGTCTAGAGGTATAGTTTGACTCTCAGGTAGCATTCAGGAGGGTGGGCTACATCTGGGGCAGGAACGGAGTAGGGAATGAGCCAGCTTGGGGTTGCCTACGATGGCCAGCTCGGCCCTCTTCGGCCATAGAACCAAAGTTGCCCTCTGTTGAGGGGTCCTCTAGGTCTAGCTCCTCAGCCTGTGTGATCCAGTCCAAGTAGCCTCTCAAGTCCTCTTCCATCTGCTGCTTCTCTCGAAGCTTCTGGAAATCACCTCGTGCTTTTGCCTTCTCTCTCTCCTTGGAGAACTCCCTGGAGGAGGTGAAAGAGTAGGTGAGGGAGCCACCTCAGTACCCTCACCTTCACTACATGAGCCTCCTATGGGTTCCTTGAATGTACCAAACATATTCTAGCCTCTAAGCCTTTGCATTAGTTGTTCCTGTTGCTTGGGAGGCAATGTCCTGAAATAGTTACATAGCCCACTCCCTCAACTTTGCCTCATTTATACTCAATATGATCAGTGGTTGGGTGCTTGCTTAGCATGCATGAGGCCCTGGGTTCAATTCCTCAGTACCATATAAACAAACAAACAAAAACAAACAACAAAAAACATGTTCTCAGTGAAGACTGTTCTGGTGCCTGGCTTCCCCCCACCTCTCACTCTCTTGCTCTCTCTTTCCCTCTCTCCCTTTCTTTCATTTTCTTTTTTTCTCTCCTTCTGTCCTTCCCTCTATCCTTCCTTCCCTCCTTCCTTCCTTCCTTCCTTCCTTCCTTTCTTTCTTTCTTTCTTTCTTTCTTTCTTTCTTTCTTTCTTTCTTTCTTTCTTTCTTTCTTTCTTTCTTTCTTTCTTTCCTTCCTTCCTTCCTTCCTTCCTTTCTCCTTCCTTCCTCCCTTTAGTCCTGGGGCTTGAACTCAGGGCCTGGGTGTGGTCCCTGAGCTTTTTTGCTCCAAGCTAGCACTCTACCACTTGAACCACACTCTTCTGGCTTTTTGATGGTTAATTGGATTAGTCTCCCTGAATTTCTTGCCCAGGTTGGCTTTGAACTGTGATCTTCAGATCTCAGCCTTTTGAGTAGCTAGGATTACAGGCATGAGCCACTGGTAACCAGCTCCTGTTACATTCTTTTGGTATGTTTGTGCTGGTACTGGGCTTGAACTCGGAGCCTTGAGCACTCATTTAGCTTTTTCACTCAAGGCTGGAGCTCTACCACTTGAACCTTATCTCCATTTCTGGCTTTTTGTCAATTAATTGGGGATAAGAATTTCACTAACTTTTCTATCTAGGCGGCTTTAAACCAAAATCCTTGGACCTCAGCCTCCTGAGTAGCTAGTATTATAGGCATGATCGACCACTGTCTGGCTCTCCTATTATATTACTTCTAGAGCCAGTCCTGGGACTTGAACTCAGGGCCCAGGTGCTGTCCTTGAGCTTTTTTGCACAAGGCTAGTGTTTCACCATTTGAGCCACAGCTCTATTTTGTTTTTCTGGTGTCTAATTGGAGATGAGTCTCATAGACTTTTCTGCCCAGGCTGGCTTTGAACCGCAATCCTTAGATCTCAGCTTTCTGAGTAGCTAGGACTACAGTGTGGCCACATATTACATTTTTTGTTGTTGTTGTGGGGCTTGAACTCAAGATGTTGGTGCTGTTCCTGAGCTCTTTCGCTCAAGGCTAGCACTCTACTGTACTTTGACCCACAGCTTTACTTCCAGTTTTTGAGTGGTTAAATGGAGACAAAAGGCTCATGAAGATTTTTCTGCAGGGGCTTGTTTTGAACTATGATCCTCAGATCTCCGCCTCTTGAGTAGGTAGGATTATAGGCATGAGCCCCTGGCACCAAGTCCCTATTACATTCTTAAAACAGTTTCTTCCATAGTAGATGTTTAAAATTAAATGAAGGAGCATTTCAGAATGTTTTTGAACAGATGGGAGTGTAGCTTAGTGGTAGAGCTCTTGCCTAGCATGCATAAGAAAAAAAATTAACAAACTTCTTACTAGATTGATTTTAAAGATACCTAGGAGTTTTCTGACATACAAAAAGAAGCAGAGTTTTTGGAATGTGGCTTGGTGGTAGAGTGCTTGCCTCTCACGCATGAAGCCCTGGGTTCAATTCCTCAGTACCACATCAACAGAAAAATCTAGAAGTGATGCTGTGGCTCAAGTGGTAGAGTTCTAGCTTGAGCAAAAGAAGCTCAGAGACAGGCCTGAGCTCAGGCCTTAGGACTGGCAAAAAAAAAAAAAAAAGCAAAGGAAGGGGCTGTAATGGGGAGGGGACTACAGAAGTGGAAAGATAGAATGTCTAGGCTTCTCACCCACTCAGGACACCAAGCACAAGGTTGAGGACGAAGAAGGATCCAAAGATGACAAGGCTGACGAAGTACACCCAGGGTAGCTCATAACCCATAGCATCCTGCATCTGGAAAGAGACAGCATACTTCCCTCAGGGAATATAGACAGCCCACCTGAACTGAAGAGGAAGGTAGGTTCCCCTTTTGAACTGTGTGCTTGCTTGTTCATCTCACCCAGTAGAGTACATCAGTCCAGCCTTCCATGGTGATGCACTGAAAGACGGTCAGCATGGCAAAGAAGAAGTTGTCAAAGTTGGTGATGCCACCATTGGGCCCAGGCCAGCGCCCTCGGCACTCAGTCTGGTTCAACATGCACACCCGACCAGAGCCTGAAGATGCACAAGGTGATGGATCCTCTTCTGCCTCTACATCTATGGGAAAGGTGGAGGTCAAGGCTATAAAGCATGGCCACTAGCAGGCTATGAGAAGAGAGTTCCTGGTATTCAGGAGCCCCTCATAGAAAGTTTGACTCAGAAGCCAGGTACTGGTATATCATGCCTGTAATCCTAGTTACTCTGGAGGCTGAGATCTAAGGATCAAGGTTCAAAGCCAGCCCAGGCAAGAAAGTCCATGAGACCCTTATCTCCAATTAACCACCAGAAAATTGGAAGTGGCACTGTGGCTCAAAGTGGCAGAGTGCTAGCCTTGAGCAAAGAGAGCTCAGGGACAGTGCCAAGGCCCCAACTTCACGCCCCATGGCAACAACAAAAAGAAAGAAAAAGAAAGTTTGACTCAGGAACCTAGAGTTTCCTACGGCATGGGCAACCCATAGCTCCATCTCTGGAGCCAAATTCTCCTTGGGAAAGCTGAGAATATCACCAGTAGGGATCTGCTGGGCGCTGGTGGTTCACACTTGTAATCCTAGTTACTCAGGAGTCTGAGATCAGAGAATCTTGGTTTGAAGCAAGCTCAGGCAGACAAATCTGAGAGACTCTTATTTCAAACTAACCAACAAAAAATCTGTTAAGTGGAGGGAAGTGGAGGTGTGGTTCAACTAGTGGAGTGCCACTCTTAAGAAGAAAAATCTAAGCAAGGGTGTGAGGCCATAGATTTCAAGTCCTAGTACACACACACACACACACACACACACACACACACACACACACACACACACATCACTCTAATGGTGTGAAGCATGCACATGGACCATGGAGTATTGTGAATTTCAAGAGTCTACTGAGGGTAGAGCTTGAACTGAAGCCAAGATAAAGGGTCAGTTGTGAAGGAGGTAGTCTTAGCTGCAGAGCAGGGTCTTGGCTACTGTTTGAGTTGTATCTCCAGCTCTGCTTTTTGCTGGTTATTTTGGAGATACTCTAGTGAACTTTTCTGTCTGGCCTGGCCTCAATCACTGATCCTCTAGAGCTCAGCCTCCTGAGTAACTAGGGCCTGAACCACTTGTTCTTGGTTTAGAGCAAAGTCCTCAATATAGGGGTGAGGCTTAGCTATCCATGGGTAGCCTGATGTGTGTGCGTGCGTGTGTGTGTGTGTGTGTGTGTAAATCTTGTGAATTTCAGTGTGTTTCCTTCAAAGAAGTTGTTAGGATTCAAGGATGGTGAGCTGACTGACCAGATCCCAGGAAGTAACACGTCTTGTGCATGCGTCCAAGGAACAGCTCCAATCCAATAATGGCATAAATGATAATGACGAAGAGCACCAGCAGTGCAATGTGCAGCAGAGGCACTAGTGCCTTCATGATGGAGTTGAGAACTATGTGCAGACCTATGGGGAGGTAAACGTGGGTCAGCACAGCCCCACTGTCAGCCCCACCTTCACCCCCAACCAAGAGAAGCCTGCCACTTACTTGGGACTCCAGACACCAGTCTCAGTGGCCGCAGCACTCTAAATGCCCGCAAAGCTTTCACATCGAAGCCCCCTGGCTTCCCCCCAGTATGTGGGGCATCGCCTGGTCGCCCAGGTCCCTGTTCCAGCAGCACGCTAAAGAGCCTGATGGTGAAGCATGGGAAGGGCAGGGAGAAGTTCAGGTTTTGGACTTCTTCATCCCTCCCTTCTCCTCAAAAGTACAAATCCATTACTGGAAGAACAAATGACTGTAACTATGCTCATATCCTTAATTCTGGCTAGTGAACAAGATAGTGTCACTTCCCTGAGCCATGAACTTTTTTTTTTTTTTTTGTCAATCATGGGGCTTGAACTCTGGGCCTAGGCGCTATCCCTCAGCTCTTCAGCTCAAGGCAAGCGCTCTACCACTTGAGCCACAGCGCCACTTCCAGTTTTCTGGTGGTTAATTGGAGATAAGAGTCTCATGGCCTTTCTTGCCATGGCTGGCTTTGAACTGTGATCCTCAGATCTCAGCCTTCTGAGTAGTTAGGATTACAGGTGTGAGCCACTGGCACCCGGCTTGAGCTTGGAATTTAACGGGGCTAGGGTTAGGAAGTCCCCACTCTCTGATGATGCGCACCCAACCACGACGATGATGAAGTCGAGTAGATTCCAGCCATTGCGGATATAGGCGCTCGGGTGGAGCACCAGCCCATAGGCTACGATTTTGAGCACAGTCTCCACGGTGAAAATGACCAGGAATACGTATTCCACTTGCTCCTGGGGGCAGAGCCAGGGGCGGGAAAGGAAGTCCAGTTATTTGGAGGCAGAGTCAGAGTATGTTCAGGTTGAGGAAGAAGGCACATATTCTGGAGGGTGGGGTGGGTATGTCAGAGAGGGGCAGGGATTGGCTGGAAGGCTTGAGGTGTGACTCTAATAGGCTATAATCTGCCAGGGACCAGGAGGGCGGGACTCACCAGATTGTGGTTGGCAGTGTTGGAGTCATCCTCTGGGAAGGGGATGTAGACCCCTAGGGCCACACAGTTGGCAAAGATGGTCAGCAATATGAGGATGTCAAAAGGTCTCAGGTAGACACAGTCAAGGACCCAGGCAGAACGGCCTTAAAATACCCATGTTCCCTTGGGGGCCCTTCCCACCTAGTGCTGACCCATGGCTTGTAGATTACTGGTTATGATATTCTGCAATTCTCAAAAGCTTGACTAGAGCTTTGACTTTGACCACCTCTCCCCACTAGTAATCATTCCCAACTCTTGCTTTGATTTCATCTTTAATTTTTTTTTTGCCAGTCCTGGGGCTTCAACTCAAGGCCTAGGCACTGTCTCTGAGCTTATTTTGCTAAAGCTGGTGCTCTACCACTTGAGACACAACTCCACTTTAAGCTTTTTAGATGGTTATTTGGAGATAAGAATCTCATGGACTTTCTTTCCTGGGCTGGTTATGAACTGCAATTCTCAGGTAGCCTCCTGAGCAGCTGGGATTACAGGAGTGAGCCACCAGAGCGTAGCATTTGTGAGTATAATTGTGTAGTCTAGGTTGGCCTTGAACAGGAAATCCACCTGCTACAATTTCTCAAGAGTTGTAATTACACGCATACAGGTTTGCGATACCATATCTGGTTTAGTACTTGACTCCACCTCTCCCCTCCCCCCTTTTTTTGTTGCTATGTTGGGGATGGAAACCACAGTCGTTTGTTAGGCAAACATCCTACCACTGAATTACACCCCCGTTCCAGGAATTCCCTGTCCCCAGCTTTTGACTCTTGACTCCTGGTGACTTGGCCCCTTTCCATTCCAGTCCTGATCCAATGTTTGATTGTTGGTACGCTGGTGGCCCTTACCCCTGAGGCTTTTAGGATACTTCCATTCCACTATGCTGATGCAGGACCGACGAATGGGATTGGCTAGAGTGAGGCAGAAGAGTGCTCGAGGTGATCTCTGGGCACTGGCTACTGCCACTGTTTTATGCTTATTGTGTTGTGTCCTTCGCTTAGGAGTCTCTAGGCCTGAGGTCCCACTGATGTCGCCTCCTGTGGCTGGAGGGCCGGGACAAAGCCCCCATTCAGGACCAGGGCCTATCCCATTGGCTGGACTGGGTTCAGAGGTGGTGTCTGTGCAGAGAAACAAAATCATAAGGGGACAGGACATTGAGGCAAGCAAAGCTACTTTTCTTTTTTTTTTGGTCGGTCATGGGGCTTGAATTCTGGGTTTGGGTGCTGTCCCTCAGCTCTTACAGCTCAAGGGGAAGCGCTCTACCAATTGAGCCACAGTGTCTCTTCCAGTTTTCTAGTGGTTTACTGGAGATAAGAGTCTCACAGACTTTCCTGCCCAAGCTGGCTTTGAACCGAGATCCTCAGATCTCAGCCTCCTGAGTAGATAGGATTACAGGTGTGAGCCACCGGTGCCCAGTGACATAGCTACTTCTTACTTGATCCTACTCCTCTATCTGAAGGAGGGAGAGAAGAGCATGAAAAATTAGGAGAATTGAGGGGCTGGGAAGGTGGCTCAGTGTTAGAGCGCTTGCCTTGCATGCATGAGGCCCTGGGTTCAATTCTTCAGCACCACATAAGCAAAAAAGAAAAAAGCCAGAAGTGGTGCTGTGGTTCAAGTGGTAGAGTGCTAGCCTTGAGCTGAAGAGCTGAGGGACAGTGCTCAGGCCCAGAGTTCAGGCCCAATGACCAGACCCTCCACCAAAAAAAAAATTAGGGAGAATTGAGCATACTTGGGTTAAGGATTGAAGGGTAAAAATTTATGTTGGGCTGGGTACCAGTGGCTTATGCCTATAATCCTAGCTACTCAGGAGGCTCAGATTGGAGGATTGAGGTTCAAAGTCAGCCCAGACAAAAAAAGTCCTAGAAACCTTTATCTTTAATTAGCTAACCAAATGCCCAAGGTAGAGGTGTGGCTCATGTGGTAGAGTAATAGGATTGAGGGAAAGAGCTAAGGGGCAGTACGTAGGCTCTGAGTTCAAGCCCCAGTACTGGCACACACACAAGAAAGACACAGTGTTGGAATAAAGATTGGTGCGGTAGGACTGGGAATGTGGCTTAGTGTAGAGTGCTTGTCTATCATGCATGAAACCCTTGGTTTGATTCCTCAGTACCACATAAACAGAAAAAGCTGGAAGCAGAGCTGTGGTTCAAGTGGTAGAGTGCTAGCCTTAAGCAAAAGAAGCTCAGGGACAGTGCCAAGGCCCTGAGTTCAAGGCCCAGGACTGGCAAAAACAAAAAAAAAGATTGCTGCAGTAGCCAGGTGGGTCACATCTCTAATTTTAGCTACTCAGGAGGCTGAGATCTGAGGATTACAGTTTGAAGCCAGTCCAGGTAGGAAAGTCTGAGACTTATCTCTGATTAACCAACAAAAAGCCAGAAGTAGAGCTGTGTCTCAAGTAGTAGAGTGCTAGCCTTGAACAATAACAACAACAACAAGCTCAGAGACAGGGCCCAGACTCTGAGTTCAAGCCCCAGGATTGGCGCACACACACACACACACACACACACACACACACACACACTCACAATTGGTGTGGAGTGAGATTTACAAAATATTGTCATGTAGTGGGCGTAAGTTTATATAATTGGATACAAATTTAAGGTTAAATTGGAATGGTGGGTTTTAGGTTGGTGGAGTTGAATTTAAATGTAGGTGAGAGTGGAGTTTGGCTAATATTTATGGATACGACTAGGTATCTGAATGAATTGAGATTAGAATTTGAAACAAGGATAGAGCTGAAATTGAGTTTTGAGTGTGATATGAGTTTTGCTTTGGGATTTTCAGCTAAATCCATCTCCATTTCCTATGGCCTTGTTTCAGCCTCTGAGGGTCAGTAGGTTAGCCAGGTTAAGACCCCTAGCTATCCGAGTTTAAATCCTGACTGTACACTCTGAAGCTCTTTGACATCTTGAGTAAATATGCTATCTCTCAGCCTTTTTTTCTTATATGTATAATGGGGATGATAATATTGGTACTTGCATTATGGTGGCAGTATAAGGATTAAATGAATTCAGCATTCAGAAGAATACCTGGCTTGGGCTAGGAATGTGGCTTAGTGGTAAAGTGCTTGCCTAACATGCATGAAGCCCTGGGTTTGATTCCTCAATACCACATATATAGAAAAAGCCAGAAGTGGTGCTGTGGCTCAAGTGGTAGAGTGCTAGCCTTGAGCAAAAGAATTCAGGGACAATGTACAAGCCCTAGTTCAAGCCCCAGGACTGGCAAAAATAATAAAATAAAATGAAATGCCTGACTTGCAGCATTATTCCTATTTTAAAGACTGGGAAATTGAGGCAAAAAGGTTAAATGGCTTAGTGAAGTCTATAAGTTAGTAGTCAAAACTAGGTGGTCACTGGGAGTCATGGCTCACATCTGTGATTCTAGATACTCATTAGGCTGAGACCTGGAGGATCCTGTATTGAAGCCAGTCTGGGCAGAAAAGTTTGTGAGATTCAATAAGCAAAATGCTGGACTAGAGACAATGGCTCAAGTCGTAGAGTGCCAGCCTTGAGCAAGCAAGCTGAGTGACAGATCATGGCTCTGAGTTTAAGTTTGGGTATCAGCACAAATAAAACAATACCAACAGCAAAAACAAACAGAAACAAAACCCAGTAGGCAGCCTGACTCCCAAAGCCTTCCCAGATTACTATCATGATCAGGTGTGGGTTCTTGTTCTGTATGTCTTTTGTAAGAAGGGTCAGAGACAATACTTACTAACAGTCTGGCATCTAGGTGTTGAGGTAGGAGTTAAGTGAATTTAGTGTTCAAGATGAAGTCTGTAGCTGGGCGCCGGTGGCTCATGCCTGTAATCCTAGCTCCACCGGAGGTTGAGATCTGAGGATCATGGTTCAAGCCAGCCCGGGCAGGAAAGTCCATGAGACTCTTATCTCCAATAAACCACTAGAAAACTGGAAGTGGTGCTATGGCTCAAGCAGTAGAGTTCTCGCCTTGAGCTGAAGGCTCAAGGGCTTGGGACAGTGCCCAAGCCCAGAGTTCAAGCCCCACTACCAACAAAAAAAAAAGTCTGAGCCAGGGCTGGGAAGGTAGCTCAGTGGTAGAGTGTTTGCCTTGTATGTGTGAGGCCCTGGGTTCAATTCCTTAGCACCACATAAGCAGAAAAAGCCGTTAAGTGGCACTGTGGCTCAAGTGATAGAGTGCTAGCTTTGAGCTCAAGAGCTGAGGGACAGCGCCCAGGCCCAGAGTTCAGGCCCCACCACTGACACCCCCCCCCCCCCACACACACACACACAAAGTCTGAGCCAGGTGCTGTTGGCTTATGCATGTAATCCTAACTACTCAAGAGGCTGAAATCTGAGGATTTGTGCTTCGAAGCCCGCCTAGGCAGGAAAAGTCTGTGAGACTCTTATCTCCATATAACCAGCAAAAAGCCAGTAGTGGAGCTGTGGCGCAAGTAGTAGAGTGCCAGCCTCAAGCAACAAAGCTAAGGGATAGAGTGAGAGTATGAGGCCCTAAATTCAAGCCCTAGTATGGGCACAGACACAAACAACCCCAAAACCAAGCCAACCAACAAACCAGATGAACAACAACAACAAACAAACAAAAAACAAGTAGGGTTTGAACTCTCAGGGGGGATGATGGCTCTTGTTGGTAGGGTTTGTGTTAGGTAGGGTACAGTTTGAGGCTGAATTGGTGTTAGAGTTGGTGTGGGCACTAGGAAAGGGGTCAGGGTAAGGACTGAGGTTGGTTTCATTTAGGAACAAAGGTTGTGGGTGGGGCTGAGGGGATGTAGGGGACAGAATCTGGGTCAGGCTGAGTATCCCCCCTCAGATGGCTAAGAGACTGTGTTTGGGACAAAGCTCTCTGAGGGTAGTAGGCTCCAGGAAGAGGGTGGGTCAAAAGGATGAGGGTAGAGCAGAGGCTTGCTCCAAGGGTCTGCATGGGTGGATGGCTGCTCTCACCTTTCCCGCCTTCGGATTCCGACATCCTCCTCTCCAGGTTGAAGGGCCATCTGCATGTAGCCCCCCTTTCTTTCCCCAGCTTTGAGGGGATTAAGGTCATGGGGCGGGGCAATAGTAGTGCCAGTTGGGAGTGTAAGCTAGGCACAAATGGGACATGATTAAATGTTTACCGAATAGATATCCACATTAGTCCGAAACTAGAATAAAAATGTATGATTTTCTAAGAGTATTTGAAATTTGAAGTAAGTAGGGGAAACCTAACATATGTGCGATATGTCTGGAAAAAAGCATCCCATATTAAATATTAAAGGAGACCTAAATACAGAAAAAAATACAACATTTTCTGATTGAAATACTCAATATCATGAGGATGTCAATCCTTTCCAAAGTGATGTAGAGATTCAATGTAATTCCAAAGAAAATTTCAAGGGATTTTCCCATGGAATATGACAAACTAATTCTGAAATGTATATCGATGAAAGCCAAAATCTTGTGAAAAAGATCAAGATGCCATATTTGATATCAAGCTCATTATAAAGCTGCGGTAATTAAGAACAAAATATAGTTCAGAAACTGAGCCATATATATATATACATACATACATGATTTGCGACAAGTTTTGGCACTACTGGGTAGTGGAGAAAAATAGCCTTTATTTATTTATTTGTTTGCTTGTTTCATGCCAGTACTGAGGTTTGAACTCAGAGCCTCACATTCTCTCTTGGCTTTTTTGCTCAGAGCTGTGCTCTACCACTTGAACCACAATTCTACTTATGGTTTTATGCTAATTAATTGGAGATAAGAGACTCATGGACTTTTCTGGCCCTGCCTGGTTTTGAACAGGGTTCCTTAGATCTCAGCCTCCTGAGTAGTTAGACTTAGAGGCATGAGCCTTTTTAAATCAGCATATATTAAGAATGCAAGGTGAACTTTCATTGTGACCTTTCCATATATGTATACAAAGTATTCTAATCAATCTATCCCCCTCTATCACTCTCCCTCCCCAATTTCCAAAAACAGTTGCAATATTTTTCATGTTCCATTTTCATACATGCAAACTACTGCTTCAATTACATTCATTGTATGTAGTTCATTCTCCTCAGACCAACCCTTGCCACTAGCACCCATCCTCCCAAGTGAGTATATAAGTTTTTTAACACAGTGTTTACAAAATTATTTGCTGTGTTATTGTTCGTTGGAGTGTATATGTGTAACATGAAACTAAAACATATATTAACTGGATGAATACTAGTAACTATAACTCTCAGTGTTTTGTTTTGTTTCTTCTTTGAGACAAAGTCTCACTGTGTAGCCCAAGGCTGACCTGAAACTCTTAATTCTCCTGGGTCAGCCTTCCCAGTGCCAGGATTACAGGCATGTGCCACCACATAGGGTTTACATGGTATGCTTTCTTACTATGTGGCAGGCACAGAATACAATGTACTTAAAGATTTTCTGATTGTTTGTTTAGTCAGGGTCTTTGTGTGTTGCGCAGGCTAATCTTTCTGTCTCAGTCTCCCAAGTACTGGGATTCTGGGTGTGCACCACCACACCCCATTTAGTACCTGTTTTAATCTTTGGAATGAGGTACTAGCCAGAGTCCCTTATTGCCAGATAAGGAAAGCAAGACACAGGAAAGCAGTCGCTTTGTGTTAAAACTCCAGCCCTTCATTTGGACATTCTTTATAGCCTAGAAGACGAATGCTGCCCTAAATAAAACCCATCTTGGTCCCTTTCTTCCCCACCCAGCACAGCTCCTTTTCCGCCGGGAAGAGCCCGACTAAGGCTTCCAGCAGCGATTGCGTCTTAAAGCCTGCGCGCGCACATTCACACCCCGCCTCCAGGCAGCCTGCCCCAGCCCGGCTTGCTCAATGGAACTACACTTCCCAATCCACCCCGCGCGGCCATCGCGAGTCCCGAGCACCGAGCGGGCTTGCTACAGCTGCATTCTACTTTCTCAGATCCGGTCCTGGACCGGGCCCCGGCACTGAATCAGCTCCACCATGGAGGAGGCAGACCGGATCCTCATCCACTCCTTGCGCCAGGCTGGAACGTAAGTACACAACCCCCACTGGTCTCTAAATGCTTACATCCGGGACTTCAAAACCCAGGACCCCGTTATCCCGGAACCTTAATGCCCAGGACACCTTGATTGACATCTAGGGCTCCAACTTCCAGGTCTCTAAGATCCCCTCCCGCCTACGTCCTGACAATCTGGGGGCTCCCAAGCTCCCAAGCTCTTTGATCTCGACATGCGGCATACCCAAGCTTTAGGATCCAGACACCCTGAGACTTTACAACCTTGAAACCTCAAGACCTTGAGACCTTGGTATCTGGAACTCCTAAGACAATTGCACCTGGAGAACCAGGGAATAAAACCACCACAACCTTGCTTTTCAGGGACTCCCCAAATCCCAGGGGCTGATACTTGAGAACCTTCAAACTTCGTCCCTAAATATTTGGGGACTAAAAACACCAGGACCCTAGAATCTGGTGACATCAGTTCTGGATCACTCTGACACAGAAGGACTTTTCCATTTGAGGGCCCTAAAAGTCTTCTATACCAAAATCTAGGGTGCCTAATTTTTGTGTTGTTTGAAGCCAGAGATGTTGATTTCTAGGGACCCTGACATTTGAAACTCTTGAGAATTCCTGTCTCTACATGTAGTCATCTCCAAACCCCAGCAGATCTGATCTCTGACATGCAGAGAACATGAGGGGATCAAGAAATATAGAGACCATGCTAATTAACGAGGTCCTTTCACTTTCTCAGAGCCCAGAAATTTGGGACCTTTAAGCACAGGGGAAGTTGGAGGTTTTGCTGAGTTCAGATTTCTTCCCTCCACCATTCTTTTACATGGGAAGTATTAGGATCTGAGGATTTACCTAGTTCTTTGTTTTCCAAATCAAAGTCTGAATCATTAACATCTAGGATCTGTTGGAATTTGGGCTTTGACCCCCACCCTCACTCCAGTTTCAGAACTTCTTTTTGAAGGACACTGTATAGCCCAGCCTGCTCCCCGTTTCTAGAATACTCCCCAGTGTTGAGCCTGCCTCTTTCTTCTTCAGGGCAATCCCTCCAGATGTGCAGTCCTTACGAGCCTTCACCACTGAGCTAGTTGTAGAGGCAGTGGTCCGATGCCTGCGTGTGATCAACCCTGCTGTGGGCTCTAGCCTCAGTCCCCTGCTTCCTCCAGCCATGTCAGCCCGGTTCCGCCTGGCCATGAGCCTAGCTCAGGCCTGCATGGTGAGTGTCTTCCAGTCCACACACTATCTTACTTCCTCCTTTACAAAGTAACCAAGCTCCTGCGACACTTTTGCCTTTCCTCCCTGCCATCTCTCTTTGTGGTTTAGCATTCATTAGTGGTTAAAAGCTGTTGGTCCTATTGCCAAACTGTAAGTAGTTCAAACCCTAGCTCTACCATTTGCTCTTTGACCTCTAAACCTTGTGGGCCTCAATTTTCTTATCTGTGGCCATCATAAAAATAATGTTATGGGCATTAAATGAGTGATCCCATATATACCGAGGCTGCCCCTAGCTTTCATATTTTAAGCTTAGTATCATGACCTCACCCACCCACCCAGAGTGTTCATCTAGCAGTTCCAGAAAGGCCTTCCTTTCCTGCACCTAAACTAGACACTGAATTGTGATTGGCCCAGCCTATGTCATATGATCCCTATAGGACACTATGATTGGCTGCCCCTCTCGTGTGCTAGTTAACTAAACTGTATCTGTTACATTCTCCTGTAGCAAGAATGCGCAACACGCCTCCAGTAACAGTTCCAAAAAATGTCTCCGTGGTGGGTCAAATAAAGTACCTTTCTAGTGAAAAACTCACCCTTTCTCAGTCTGGAGCTTTGTCCAGTTACTGTAGTTAAGAGCACTGGCTGGGGACCAGTGGCTCACCCCTATAATCCTAGCTACCCAGGAGGCTGAGATCTGAGTTTTGTGGTTCAAAGCCAGCCTGTGCAGGACAGTCTGTGAGACTCTTACCTCCAATTAACCACCAAAAACCTGGAAATGGAGCTGTTGTTCAAATGGCAGAGTGCCTGCCTTGAATGAAAAAGTGGAGAGAGTTCAAGAACCACAACCAAAAAACAAAGTGGAAAGAAAAAGTGAAGGATGAGTGTCCAGGCCAAGTTCAAGCCCCCAGTACTGAGAGACACACACAAAAGAATTGTACCTACTGTGGGGTTGCTGTAAAGATTAAAAATGAATTAAAGAAATAGAGGCTCAATTTTCCAGGGCATGTTTTGAATGCACAAGGCCCACATGGAAGAAAATACAGTAAAAATTCACTTAATATATATATTTTTTTTGGTGTCAGTCCTGAGGCTTGAACTCAGGGCCTGAGTGCTGTCCCTGAGCTTCTTTTGCTCATGGCTAGCACTCTTAGCACTTGGGTACTGCTTTACTCCTGCCTTTTCTTTTGGTAGATAAGAGTCCCACAGACATTCCTGCTGGGGCTAACTTTGAACCTCAGTCATCAGATCTCAGCTTCCTGAGTAGCTAGGATTAAGTGAGCTACCAGCCACTTGCAGAGTTAACATTTAAATAGCCAGATAGAGGTGATCTGGCTGTTTACCTTCCAGCAACTGGTGGCTATGCAATCAATTAAACACTTCCCACACCCAGTTAATATTTCTTGAAGGCAGCAGAGCAACTCCAGTGAAAACATCCATTTAGACAAAGGGCATAGCGTGGTCAGAGTTGTTCACCTTGCCCAATTGCTTGTGCAGTTCTGGTTCTTAGTTTTCTGCCACCTCTTCACTCTCAGATTCACTTAGCTGTCAGAATTTCCTGATTCTTCTGTCTGGGGCTCTTGGTGGCTTCTAGAGGCAGGCAGTCCCTAGCCTGGGGCTATGTCCTCAAGGATGGCAATCTAAGGGAGAAGTTAAGTATTTGGTCAGGCTTGGAGGATTCCAAGTGTTCAGTGCCAATGTGGGAGTGAGGCTTTCCTTTCTCCTTTCCCTTCCCTGCCTTCTCCTTCTCTCCTCCCCTCTCTCTTCTCCTCCCATTCCATCCCTTGTCCTCCCTCTCTTCCCCTCTCATTTAGCTCATGCTAACTTCAGCGTGGGGTAGACCATCTGGCTTTCTTAAGCTACATGGAATTGTTTGCCAGCAGCAGGCAGAAAGGGTATCTTTAGCTTAGCATTGCCTTATTTTGGTCCTATAAGTGCCCTGCTCCTGGTACCCATTTGTATGCCCAAGCCACCTCCATGTTGGCACTTGTCACTGTACATACCTTACTCCCGGGGTGAGTTTCTGTGGCCATCATAACTCTTTGATTGCAGATGTCAGGGTAAAAAAAAAAGACCAAAAACAAAAGCAACCCAGTAATGTATCAATACCCCAATGCATTTCATACCTTTTTGATCATGACTCTTCTAAATAAATACAGCTTACTCTGTGACCCAGAGCAAATATATAAATGTATTAAAGATTGCTTTTGAGTTGTGCTAGTAGTATAACACAATTTCATGTCAACCCTCTGGAGTAGATATTTTTGGAATCCTTTTTGGTTTTAGATGAAGCAAGCACAGCACAAAGAAGTTAAGTGATTTTCCTGAGGTTGGTAAGAGGCAGAGCGTAGGTCTGAACCTAGAAAGTCTTCTTTGGGGTCCATGTAACTCTGGACCAATATGTAGTTAGCTGGATGCTGTTGTCTCCTGCCTGTAATCTTGCTACTCAGGAGGCTGAGATCTGAATATCATGGTTCAAAGCCACCACAGGCAGACAAATCCCTGAGACTCTTATCTCCAGTTTAACAACAAAAAGCTGGAAGTGGAGGTGTGGCTCAAGTGGTAGGGTACCAGCTTTGAGGAGAAAGCTAAGCTAGGACTAGTGGCCTTGACTTCAAGTCTCAAACACACGTACACACACACACACACACACACAACAAACACATACAAAACAAAACACAAACCTCTGGCAGAACAAGGTTTTTTTTTTTTTTCATCTATGAATAGTCTGTTTGCTAATCCCATATAGAACCCTTGGAAGTATTTTCATTCTGAGCTATTGTGTTGCTGGTCTCTTTTATTAATCTGTTTATTTTGTTTTATTATCATTATTTTTTTTTAGTGATGCTTGGGATGGATCCCAGAGTCTGGCACACTCTAGGCATGTACTTTACCATTGAGCCACATCCCAGCTTTCCTGTTTATTTTTAGGCACTCTTTATATAATAGGCAGAGTTGCTGTCTATAATACAGACTCCAGATATTTTTCCCAATTTATTATTATTATTTTGACTTTGCTAATTACATTTTTCTCAAAATTGTCTACTTATTTCCATGTAGGCAGAAATTCCATCTTCTCTTTTGTGGCCTTTGGATCTTGATTCATAGTTAGCAAAGCCAGAGCTTTAATGTCCTTTCTGGCTCTCTGTTGGCATTGATTGTAATCATACCCTGGCTAACCTGGGGAGGGTGGTGGTTGGTAAGATAGTGGCAACAGGTATGGCCTAGGTCAAGGGGCTCCCAGGGCAGGAGGATCCTGCCTGCCTGGCTTATAGGGGCCTACTTCCCCAATCCCAGGCATTGTCACCTGATTAATACCTGATAACCTCCAGGATCTGGGCTATCCCTTGGAACTTGGCTACCAGAACTTCCTGTACCCCAGTGAGCCTGATCTTCGGGATCTGCTACTCTTCTTGGCTGAGCGCTTGCCCTCTGATGCGTCTGAGGATGCAGACCAGCCTGCAGGTACATAGAGGTTGGGGACTGGAGTGTGGTCCTGAGATTGATGAGTAGAAATGGGAGTATGTATTTGGGAGAGCTGGGTAGGATTGAGGGGAGGGTCAGAGAGGAAATGGATGCAGGGCTGGGGAACTGATAGACTCAGGTGGTGAGTGGGTACAGTGGAGGGACCTCCCTGATTCCTCCTCCTTACTCCTTCTACTCTCACCATGTGGGCATCGTTGGAGGTCCCCAAAGCACCAGGCACACTGTCGATTCTCAAGGCCTTTGTATCTGGGTTATTTTTCCCCAGATATCCTCATTGTTAACTCCTTAGCTGTCTATAATTTTCCTCTCTGCCATTACCTCATAGGACTTCCTTTGACTGTCTTGTGAAACACTCTAGGCTCCTTTTAGCAATCCTCCTCTCCTTGACCATCACCTGACCATGGTTTGGAAATGCACTTAAAATTCTATGCATGAACTCTCTTCTAGCTTGTTGACTGACTGTATGAGGATGGGGATCTTTCCTACTTTGTTCCTACTTTGACCCTAATATCTGATATGATGACTAGTGCCTAGTTCGTACTCTGTGTTTGTTGAATCACTGAGTGAAGATGCTAGCTGGATCAATCTACATGTCTAGATGAGGGGTGGTTTCCTAGAGTGTGTACTTTTGGATTTGTAGCATGTCATTTGGTGACTTCTTCTTCCCCACCTGGCCTAGGTGACTCAGCTATTCTCCTTCGGGCCATTGGAAGTCAAATCCGGGACCAGCTGGTTCTTCCCTGGGTTCCACCTCTCCTTCGCACCCCCAAGCTGCAGCACCTACAGGTAGGATCCCTGATTCCTATAGATCTATGCTTATTTCTGCCTTGCCTTCCCTGTCCCCATCCAGTTGTATGGTTGTTGACTCTTGTCATACTTTGTCCTGGAAATTCTGACTCTGTTCTTCCCTGCCTTAACACACACACCAGGGCTCTGGCCTCCAGCAGCCTTTCCAGTCCAGCAGGCTGGTCCTGCCTGAGTTGAATTCCAGAGAAGGTGAGGCTGAGACTGGGAAGAAGCTGGGGAGGAAGGGGACACCTGGGTCCCACTGTTGCCATGTGGGAAGGTGGACTGATTCTGTTCCTGATTTTAGAGTCTAAGGAGTTCCAGTCAAGTCTCATGCTGCTACCAGCTCCCACTCAGGTGCCCCAGCCATCTGGGAGGGCAGCCTCCCTCCTTGAGTGCCATGCTCTTCAGCTCTGCCAGCAGATGGGGCGAGATCATGCAGGAGATGAGGATTGGGTACGCCGGGCATCACGCCTCCCACCCCAGGTACTGCCAGATGTTTGGTTCCCTGCTGCTGAGGCTTCTGCTCCTAGTAACCCTAGATTTGTCTCCTTTTGGCCTTCTACCCTTCCCCTTTTTCCTCTTTAGTCTCATTGCCGCCCCCCCCCCCCACCACATGTACTCATCCGGTCCCCACCTGGTAGAACACTGGAGGTAGAATGGCTGCATATGGGACAAGTTGATCTCACTTCTCAAGGCTTTATTTCCTGTTCTGAAAACAGGAGTAGCCATTGTATGCAGTGATCTTGACTGACAGGACAGTTTGGATGGGTTACCTTCCTCCTTGTCTCTACCAGTTTCTCCTGTCCCTGAGTCTCTCATTTTCTGATTGTCGGTGATGCTTATGGTTTCTATATCTAGGTTTCTGCCTGGTCCCTTCCTGTCATGGTCTCTGTCAGTCTCTCTGTGTTCTCATTTCTGTGCTGCATCTCTACCTCTCTCCCTTTGTGTCTTTTCCCTGTGGCCCTCTGTCTACTTGTTTATCTGTCCCCATTGATCTAACCACTGATCTGTCTCGATTGCCACTTGTTCATCGCCTGCGTGCGTCTGTGCCAGTACTGAGGCTTGAACTCAGTACCTTATGTTCCCACTTGACTTTTTTGTTCAAGGCTGGCACTGTGCCACCTGAGCCACACCTCTACTTAGGGCTTTTTGTTAGTTACTGGGGAATAAGAGTCTTATGGACTTTTATGTCTTGGCTGGCTTCAATCCAGGATCCTCAGATTTCAGCTTCCTGAGTAGCTAGCATTACAGTCATAAGCCACCAGTGTCTGGCTACCACTTGTTCATCTTTGTCTTTATTTTTTAAATTTATAGGAATTGTCTAATATAAAAGCAGAGAGAATATTCTAATGAGTCCTGTATACCATTTTGCCAGTCTTCCTATAGATTCCTCAGCTCCTTTCCTCTTCCATCATCATCAACATCATCATTATCATCTGGCACTGGCATTTGACTTGTGGGCCTTATGCTTGCTAGGCATGTGCTCTACTGCTTGATCCATGTTCCCAGCCCTTCTCTGTATTAAGGCATATCTCAGGACTAGAGAGATAGTTCAGTAGTAGAGGATTTGCCTATTGTGCACAGGCCTTGGCTTCTATCCCCAGTGTATAGTTGCAACTCTTAACTACTTAAGACTTTCTTGAACTGGGTTCTGGTGGCTCACAGCTGTAATCCTAGCTACTCAGGAGGCTGAGGTCTGGCATGAAGCCAGCCTGGGCAAGAAATTCTGTGAAACTTATTTCCCATTAACTAACAAAATACCAGAAGTGGAGCTGTGGTTCAAGTGGTAGAGCACTAGCCTTGAGCAAAAATGCTAAGGGATAGCACCCAAGCCCTGAGCTAAATCCCTAAGACTCAACCTCCCGAGTAGCCCAGGATTATAAGTATAAGCCACTGGTGCCTAGTTTATTCTTTTTTCCCCCCAAAAATGTAACCATTGCCCATTTCCACAATGAAATGAATAATGATCTCAGTACAATCTAACACAGATTTTATGACCAGATTTCCTCAGAGGTCTTGCAACTGTTATTCTCTCCCCCTCATCTCCCTCTCCCTCTTATTCACTCTGTCCCTTTCTTTGCCTGGCATCTTTAACTCTGTTTTTGCTCTGTCCCACGCATCCTTTCTGTGTGTGTCTCTGATTGGGGGGGGGAGGGCTCTAGGCTAGTTTCTCCCCTTACACATCTTTCTCCAATGTGGGGAGTGAGTGAAGTATGACTGTGGAGAAGATGTGCTCCCTCTGTTCCTAGGATGCTCCTAGGCCAATAGGGCAGGAGAACAGGGAAGGGGCTGATAGGTGGGTATCACTTGTCCAGTGGTCCCTGGAAGCAGCAAGGCCTTGGGGGCAGCAGACCTCCAGCACCTTCCTTATCCTTTGCCTGTTTGTTCCAGGAGGATCCCCGGGCTCCTCGACAGCGGCTACAGAAACAGTTAATAGAGCATCTGCGCCAAAGCTGGGGTCCACTTGGAGTCGCCCCACAAACTCGAGATCTGGGAGAGCTGCTGCAGACCTGGGGTGCTGGGGCCAGGACAAGTGTCCCCAAGGGCTCTCGCTTCACACATTCAGAGAAGTTCACCTTCCACCTGGTGGGTGAGCCTGAGTAGACACAGCATGTGCTAATGGGGCATAGCTGCTTCAAAAGTTGCTTTATGTATAAATGCCATCCTTATTCACACAGGTTCCTCTGCCTCTACTGGGTAGGGGGTTCAGAGGGCTCCCCTAACCTCTGAGAACTTTAGTGGAGAAAGGGAAGATAGGTGGATACCATGTAGGGGGGGTGCTCCTGTCACAAACACTACCTTTCCCTAAGCATCCGTCTTTCTCTTCCTTCCTTCCTTCCTTTTTCTTTTTTAGATTATTATAAGGTTTATTAGAGGAACCATATTTCCAGCAAGAGAGAGCACATGGCCTCAGTCATCTAGGTAGCAGGAGGGTCTGTCTGGGCTTTCTTTCTTTCTTTCTTTCCTTTCTTTCTTTCTTTCTTTCTTTCTTTCTTTCTTTCTTTCTTTCTTTCTTTCTTTCTTTCTTTCTTTCTTTCTTTCTTTCTTTCTTTCTTTCTTTCTTTCTTTCTTTCTTTTCCTCCCTCCCTCCCTCCCTCCCTCCCTTCCTTCCTTCCTTCCTTCTTCTTTCCTTCCTTCCTTCTCTCTTTCCCTCCCTCCCTCCCTCCTTCCCTCTCTCTCTTTCTCTCTCTCTCTCCCTTTCCTTCCTTCCTTTTTTTTTTGTTGGTCGTGGAGCCTGAACTCTGGGTCTGGGCGCTGTCCCTCAGCTTTTCAGCTGTAGACTAGCGCTCTACCACTTGAGCATCAGCCCCACTTCCAGCTTTTTCTGCTTATGTGGTGCTAAGAAATCGAACTGAGGGCCTCATGCATGCAAAGCAAGCACTCTACCACTGAGCCACCTTCCCAGCCCCTTCTCTCTCTCTCTCTCTCCTCTTTCTTTCTTTGTCAGTCTTGGGCCTTAAACTCAGGGTATGGGTACTCGTTATCTTGCCCATGTAATTGTAACTCCTCTGTACGGTATTCTCACAATAAAAAAAAAAAAAAAACTCAGGGTATGGGTGCTCTCAAACTACTTTGCACCACTTCTAGTCTTCTGGTGGTTAATTGGAGATAAGAGTCTCATGTACTTTTCTGCCTGGGCTGGTTTTGAACCATGATCCTCAATCTCAGCTACTTGAGTAGTTGGGATTACAGGCGTGAGCCACCAAATCTGGTCCTAGGCACTTTTCTTTGAGCTTATCTTTTCCTAGATGCTTATCCAGAGGAGCCTTTATTCTTCTCAGGGTCAGACTCAGGAATTTTTTCCCTTTGGCAGCCACACTAGTTTGAGGTCACATATAGTACCTTTACCCCCCTAAATTATAGTCTGAGCTGTCAGTAGTTGAGTGGGTATGGGTAATGCTTTGGGATTTTGAGGCTAGGTGATGAGGAACAGGGTCTTCTGTAACAGCCAGGATGCCCCTGTTTTCACTGCTAGGAGCCCCAGGCCCAGGCAGCCCAGGTGGCAGACATTCCAGCCTCTTCTCGGCAGCCTGAACAGGTGAGCAGAATGGTCGGGCAAGAGGAACTGGGGACTTTGCCTATCTACTGGATCTGACACCTCTATTTCTACTGGTCTGTGCCTCGCAGGACCTGAAGGCAGCTCAAGAACAGGAGCTAGAGTCTCTTCGGGAACATCTGGAGGGTGTGAAGCAGAACATTGAAGAAATTGAAGCCAATATGAAGACTTTGGGAATCAGCCTTGTGCAGGTGAGGGGCTGAGGCCTCTGTCTGTGTCAGACCAGGCATAGGGCCTTGTGGGCCTAACTGGTGATCTGTAGAGGTCAGCAGATGCTAGAGGGACTTGGGGACTTCTAGAGCTCTTAAGGGTACCAGAGAATTGATGGAGGCAAGACTCATAGGGTTGGGAGCTTGGTGGGCTTATAGGAGTTAGAGGTACCTGTGGTCCTTATAGGTGAATGTGAGGGTGTGTGGGCATTGTTAGAAGAAAGTGGGTCTGGATGCCAGGGGCTTGTGGGGCTCCTTATGGCCATGAGCATGGCACTGGGTCCAAGAGGCCTATAGGGGTTAGAGGCCATGTAGTGATCTATGGGGGCTGAGGGCTGTGGTATGTGACTGGGAGCTGGGATGCTGGTGTGCCAGGTAGAGACTGAATGTCGGCAGAGCGAGCTCAGCATGGCGGAGCGGGAGCAGGCACTGCGCCTGAAGAGCCGGGCAGTGGAACTGCTGCCTGATGGGGCTGCCAACCTCACCAAGCTGCAGGTGGGCCAAGGCTGAGGCTGGGCTGGTCTGGGGAGGGGTGAAGGTTGAATGGGCCCGGCTTATGAGGCATGTTTCCCTGACTCTCTACCAGCTCGTGGTGGAGAGCAGTGCCCAGCGGGTCATCCACCTGGCAGGTCAGTGGGAAAAGCATCGGGTCCCACTTCTTGCTGAGTACCGCCACCTCCGAAAGCTTCGGGATTGCAGGGAGGTAGGTGGTGGGATCTTGGGTGTTGAGTGTGGAAGGTCTGGTGCCTCTAGGTGGCCATCCTTGAGCTCTGCTCACTGCCCTCTGCCCATGGGCTCCTGGCAGCTAGAATCTTCTCGACGACTGGCGGAAATCCAGGAGCTACACCAGAGTGTTCGGGCAGCTGTGGAAGAGGCCCGTAGGAAGGAGGAGGTCTATAAGCAGTTGGTAAGGCTTGTGTTGAGGGCTCTGGGTGGCAAGGGTGGGATATAGATCCTGGGGGAGTGCCTGCCATGTCCCTGTTCAGGTGTCAGAGTTGGAGACTCTGCCAAGAGATGTGTCCCGGCTGGCCTACACACAACGCATCCTGGAGATTGTGGGCAATATCCGGAAGCAGAAGGAAGAGATCACTAAGGTACATACCACTGAGGCCCTGGCGAGTGGGTCACAGGCATCCAGGTATAGGGTGGCCAAACAAGGACCTTACATTCCTTTTTATTTAATGCCAGAACTGGAGCTTGAATTCTGGGCATTTTTCCTTAGCTTTTTTTTTTTTTTTTTTTCCCTCAAGGCTAGTACGCTACTTCTTAAGCCACAGCTCCTCTTCTGGCATTTTGCTGGTTAATTGGAGAAAAGAGTCTCATGAACTTTTGTGCCTGGGCTGGCTTCAAACTCTGATCTTCAGATCTCAGCCTCCTATGTAGCTAGGATTACAGGCATGAGCCACTGGCACTTGGCAATCTTACACTCTGATAGGCAGAAATTTCCAGCTACCCTGATAGGACAGTCACACACAGTCTACCCTAGCCACATTGTCACAGGCCCTGAGTACATGCATAGAATACATATGAGTACCTACTCTGACCCAGACATTTGCTTATGGCCACCCTGGTGTCTGCTAGATCTTGTCTGACACGAAGGAGCTTCAGAAGGAAATTAACTCCCTCTCTGGGAAGCTGGACCGGACATTTGCAGTGACTGATGAGCTTGTGTTCAAGGTGTGGGGCACACCAGACTGGTGGGAGGGTGCAGGTGGGGCTGGACCATTGCCTGTCCATCTGCTCAAAGGCTAGCTTTGCCTTGGGCTCTCTGTGAGTCTGTAGGCACACAGTTATTTACACATGTGCCAAGTGAAAGGCAAGGGTGGGAGAGGGTGGCCCTGAGGGACATGGAGGTGGCAGGGGAGGTGGGAATAGCCTGCTGATATCTTCAAGATCCCCTTTGCCTGGTCAGGATGCCAAGAAAGATGATGCAGTTCGGAAGGCCTACAAATATCTAGCTGCTCTGCATGAGGTGAGAGGAACAGTGTGTGCCCCAAGAGGGAAGGGGTTGTGGGGGGGTGGCTATAGAGGAACCAACATAGGTGCAAACCTTCTGTTACTGCTGTCCCCAGAACTGCAGCCAGCTCATCCAGACAATTGAAGATACAGGCACGATTATGCGGGAGGTTCGAGACCTTGAGGAGCAGGTAAAACCAGGGAGCTGGAGGGGAAGTGTTACAGGCCAGGGGGAAGCTCCTTGATTTTTGCTGACAGAGGCTGTGGGACAAGATAGCCTACAGCTAGCGACTCAGCCCTGCTCCTTAGTGCCTATGCTTGGTACCTGGGACCAGCCAGTGGCCTACTCTGAGTCCTTTCTGCTTCTACCCTGAGGGTCGTGCCTATCTCCCAGAGCCAGTGGCAGACGTTTTGCCTTGGGGGTGCTTTAGATGAGGGGAATGATATGTGGGAAGGAGCAGGCCACTTTTGGGGGTGCAGGAGGGGTGCAAAGTAGCTTTAATGGAGGGGGATGGTCAACAATGGTGGGGAAAGTGGCCCTGAGATTGTATATATCCCCTATTACCTTAGATCGAGACAGAAATGGGCAAGAAGACTCTCAGCAACCTGGAGAAGATCTGTGAGGACTACCGAGCCCTTCGCCAGGAGAATGCTAGCCTCCTGGGCCGAGTCCGGGAGGCCTGAGGATTCCTGATGGAGGTTTCCCACAGCCACAGGCAGAGATTTGGGGTGTTGGAGGCAGTGACTAAGCACTTGCCCTAGCTCTTCCCTCTGTTTATCATTCAGTTTCTCCTTCTGGGAACCAGATGTCTACCCACTTGGCCCCAACCCTGATTGGACCGATTATCCAGATTGTTAGGGGCTCAGCTGCAGTTTTATTGGGTGGGCACTTGGAGAGGGGCATGGATCCCAAATAAAGGAGGGGCTCTTCTGTAGTCCAAGCTGAGGCATGGATCGGGCCCAAGACATAGGAGGGAGAGGGAAGGCAAGTGGAATATGGGGTACACTATGGCCAGTCAGTGTATATCTTCATGGGACTGGGTGGGGAGCTTGTGTGTGCATATGTGCACATGTATGAGATATGCAGGGGAGTTCTACAGGCTGGGTCTGTGAATAGGCATATGTGTATGAGGAGCTGCATGAGACTGTGTATGACCGGTCATGTGTCTGTGTGGCTTTCTAGGACCTGTGGTCCTGAGGGTACTGATGCTGCTTCTGAGTGACGCCATACCTGTGGGTTCAGAGGCTGGGTGGGTGGGTGCCTTGGGTCTGTGAGTTGGACAGTCTGTGTGTGTCTATGCAGCTTTGAGGGCATTTGAGGGTACCCAAGCTGGCTCTTTATGTTTGAGGGCTTTGTGGGAGGATCATAACTGTGTCTATTTCACTTTTCACACCCTGAGGCCATCTGTGAGTATCTGAGGCAGTCTGTATGTGTGTGGCTGGGTTCAAGAGCTCTGTTTGGCTGGAGAGTCCAAGTCTGGGGGCTGGGAGGTGGAGGTTTGAGGCTAGACTTGGACTGGGGCCCCTCTGAGCAGCCTCAGGGTAGAAGATAGGATCCAGGATGGCAGCCAACTCAGGGAGCAGACATTCTGGAAGGCAAGGCTGTGGATACTTTCCTTCCTGGTTTCTGTAGGTATGTCCAAGGCCTGCCACCCCTACCCCTACCACTTCTTCCCCTTTTAGCCCCTGGCTTGTCTTTCTTCCTTTCCATGGTATTGAGATCAGGGGCTAGGTGTAGAGTTGGAGCGCCTGCTGGGCCTCTGACTCCTTTTCTTGCGGAATTCAAACTCATTCACGGTCCACACAGCTCCTTTCTCACTCTCCACCCGCACGAAACACTTATGCAAACTCAGGTTGTGGCGGATGGCATTCTGTGGAAGGAGGACCAACCAGCCAGAGCAGGCAATCAGTTCCCCACTGAGGGCAACAGACCTGGCCATTCCCAACTTCCTTCCCCTTCCCCATAGGCCTGAGAGGCCAGCCCCATGTCTGCCTGCTGCTGTGCTGTTGTAATATTTGAGACCACCCCAGCCACCAGCACCTCCAGAGGCACTCACCTTCCAGGTGGCAGGGTGGTTTCGGAAGAAAGCAAACATACGTGTGAACCAGCGATAGATTTCATTGAGTGTCCGCTGCTTCTCAGGAGCCTCGAGGATGGCCTGGATTTTGGAGTGGAATGGGGTGAGGAGAGTGTCCCCTGAAGTCAGGGCTAAGAGAGATAGTCTATTTTGGGCCCCCTGCACTGGTGGTAGAATTATGGAGGCAGGGGAGGGATGGGAAAGATGATGTGTGGTGGAGTCTGGGGTAGACATGGGGGAAAGGGTCCATTTAGGCTCAGAATTGGGCTTGCAGTGGCCTGGCTGGTGGTTTTGGTCTGGGTTCAGTGACAGGTCTGGTTTGAATCCAGCAGAAGGGGTCATATTTAAGAAATGCCTTGGGACTCCTCAGAGGGATGTGGTAGTGTAGGAGGCAGACCCCTCCCCACTGGGGCTTGAACTCAAGGTGTGTGAACAGTCCCCAAGTATTTGTGCTCAAGGTTGGTGCTCTACCACTTGAGTCACAGCTTCACTTCTGGCTTTGTGTATCTAATGGAAATAAGAGTCCCATAGACTTTCCTGCCCAGGTGGCTTTGAACCATGATCCTCACATCTCAGCCTCCTGAATAGCTAGGATTACAGGCATGAGCTACTGGTACTTGGCTCCCCTCCCCACTTTCTTTTCCCTCCATTGTGGACCTGAACTGCCCTGGCTTACCCAGCGGATGAGGGTGGCATAGGTGAAAGGCGGCCGCATATTGTGGAACTTGAAGTAGTCCATGTTGTGGAAGAACTCTGGCAGAGGGCAAGGAGGAGTCAGGCCCCATGTAGGGCCCCATGATTCCCCGTTCCACTCCCTACTACTGGCTGCAGAGTATTTGACATAGTGTGTCTCCTTTCTGTACCACTCTGGCCCACCTTGTCCTCCCCAAGATTGAAAGGAAGTATCTTGCCCATGTGAGCAGTCAAGTGGCACAGCCAGGATGATACGCTTCTGATCCTTGTTAAACCCACAGCCCAATTCTGAAAGGGTAGGAGAGAGATTGGTAACCTTGGGCAAATCCACCCAAGGGAGGGTCTGTGAGAATTACGTAACTAGATCCTTCCTTTTCTTTTTTCTTTTTCTGATGCCAGTGCTAGGGCTTGAACTCAGAGCCTGAATGCTGTCCCTGAAGTTTTCTGCTCAAGGCTAGCACTGTACCACTGAGCCATAGCTCCACTTGTGGCTTTTTTGGTAGTTAATTGGATCTAACAGTCTCACAGCCTTTGCTTCCCAAGATTGCTTTAAACTAGGATCCTCAGGTCTCATCCTCGTGAATAGCTAGGATTATAGCTATGAGCCATCAGCGCCTGGCCTAGATTCTTTCTGATAACCAGATCAGAGTAGCCCAATCCCAAAGTGGGTGAGACATGGCTCCAGTCCTCACAGGAGACAAGGTTGGGCTAGATATTTGGGACCATATAGAGGGTGCCAAGGCCATGGAAATCCTGAGAAGCATTGGCAAGCAGTTAACTTTGTCCCTAAGGGTGAGTGATGGTAGTGGCTGTAACAAGAAACAATATGGAGCTCCTTTGTACCTCCCCCCAGCATGAGTTGGGATTTGGGGCTTAGAGTAATTAGGCTAGGCATGGATCACTTACCTGGGAAGGTGCTGTTTCCATGGCTACTCCAGAGGTGCCTCCGCACAGCAAACAGGCTATCCGAAGCATCCCGGGGTCCTGACCAGGCTGGGACGGTGCTGCTTTGGGTGCCAGAAGCTACAATGCAGCAGGAACCCTTGTCTAATGGTTCCTAGAGAAAGCAGGGTTGGGGGCTGGTGACCCAGAGACTTGAACTTCATCTTATTTTATGTTTCATTTTTGGCAGTACTCCGGTTTTCTGACAGGGCTTCCTTTTTACTTGTTTAATTTTGTGTAGGTACTGGGCTTGAACTGTGTGCTCTCATTCTATCACTTGAACCACACTTCCACTTCCAGCTTTTTCTGTGTGCTGGTACTGGGGCTTGAAATCAGGGCCTTGGTGCTATCCCTGAGCTCTTTTGCTCAAGGCTAGTGCTCTATTTCCAGCTTTTTTGTGATTAACTGAGAGAGTCTCACATACTTTTCCTGTCAGGGCTGTCTTTGAATCACTATCTCAGCCTCTTGAGTAGCTAGGAGTACAGGAGCAAGCCACCAGTGCCCAGCTACTTCCAGTTTTTTGCTGATTAATTGGAGATAAGACTCTCTCAGATTTGTCTGTCAAGACTGGCTCGAACTTTAATCTTCAGATCTCAGTTTCCTGATGAGTAGTTAGGAAATAAGTAGTGTTACCCACTGGTGCCTGGATTTTATTTACTTACTTTAAACCGGGTCTTACTGTGTTGCCCAGGTTGGTCTTGAACTCCAGGGCTCAAGTAATCCTACTTTAAGTCTCCTGAGTAGCCGAGATAATAGGTGGGTGAGCCTGTGCCTGGTTTAAAACAGTGGATTTATTTTTCATTTGTTTTTTGAGGTGCTGGGAGGCAGAACCTTTGTGCATGTTAGGCCAGCAGTCTATTTGTGAGTTACAACCTCAGCGCCTCCTCCTTTTCTGAGACAGGAATTTGCTATGTAGTCCAGGCTGGCTTTGAACTCACAGTCCTGCTTTAGCCTGAGTGCTGAGATCACAGGCATGTATTATCACGCTGTATTTCTAAGATGAAAAGCACATTTTCTAGTAGTCTGTAGCAGATTTCACAAAGCACTGTAAGCCATATTGGTTAGAGTACAGGAATGTGTTGTCACAGATGGTGGGGCTGAATTGGGCTCCCCTAGCACTAGCACCCAAACTGCCTCTTATTGAACCAATCACATCTTCTTGCCCTCAGTTCTCATCTGTGAATTGGGATAATACTGGTAGCTATCTCATAGTGGTATCATGAGGCTTGAATAAGCTAACACAGCAGAATATTCAGAAATGGTGCTGGCTTAGTAGTCAGGTAGCCAGTGGGGTCATATGTGAACCCACACTTAAGTGGTCTGGGGTTCCTATCTTGAAATTTGAACACAGATCTCTGCCTTGTTCTTTTGTGCCAGCCCTGGTGAGTTATGTAGTTAATGCTGTGGGGACAACAGTTTGCCTTCTTTAAATGGCTGGCTGCTTTTCCTTTGAAAATTAACAGTAATTGGGGATTGAAGGCTTAGAGTATGTATAAGATGGAAAAGATCCCCAGCTCAGGCATGTAAGGAGCTGGGCATGGCTCATACACCTCAGGGTCTGTCTGTGAAAAGACATCTTCTCCTTTCCTGCCCACCAGCAATCCAAGTCCACTGCCTTAAGGGGTCTGAGGTGGCTCACCACAACTGGAGTCTTGGTCAGTGCCATTTTTCCGGCCAGGTGGGCCTGCATAGCTCCCAGCTTCTTCTTCTCCAGCTCCAGCTGTGGGGATGAGCACAAAAGTGAAGGCTCCATCTGGTCTTTTTTTCTTTTTTGCCACATCTTTGTCTAGGCTTTGGCTTTCCTTGGGAGTACCCTCTCTCCCTCCCCGCTTAGAAAGCTTCTGTCCTACATGAGTCTTCTTGGCACAGGTGGGCCTGCTGCTCTTCCACCATCCTCCATCCCTCCTGCTACCTGTGGTCCATACCTGTTGCTCCAGAGACTGTACCACCTCTTTCTGGAGGAGACACTGTGCTCTGCCCTTCTCATCCAAAAGGTGGTCTGCCTGGCAATGCCTGAGTAGGAAGGAGATTCCATGTAGCTGATCACAACAGGCCTTGTCTCCTGGTTTAGAGTTGAGGATAGCCCAGACCCCGTAGGAGGCCTGTCCTCAGAGCCTTAGGTCCCCTCTACAGTCTCCCTCAGGCTGTT